TCGTGGTTTTGAGGTGGACAGAAAACTCAGCTTGCAGCCAGGAAAACCAGTATCATTTGCACGCCCGGGAGGAGAAGGCCGGGCGCAGATGGTTTCCTGCCGAAAGAGGGAAGCTAAGCCCTGGGGTCCACTTGCCGCCATTCAAAGAATGGCCTTGGGACCCAATTTAGATGATGACAGTCCTTAAGGTGGTGAAATTTGTAAACCCCATTGTTGGCTGGTGGCTTGAAACCCAGGGTAAGGCTACTGCTTTCTCCATGGAAGATCAAGCTTCTACCGCTCTGGTTGTTGTTTTTCTCCGCAGGCTGGTGCTTACAGATCGTGTACCAACCTCGCGCAGTCTTAGAGCCGGCCTCGTTTGTCAGACTCATCAGGTAACGCGGGTGAATTTGAATGAGGGACCCAAACTGGTGGGCATTTGGGTCATGGGGGCTGGGGGCGAGGGAGGGGGGAGGGAGCCCAAACAAGCGGCTTAATAAGGGCTTATTTGGGCTCCCTCCCCCTCCCGTTGGCACTGCGTGTGTGTTTGGATTGTTGTGACGTGTTCTTTTTTGTTTTATCATGTGTTGCTTTCAGTTCAAAGTATAGTGGTGTGCAACCAGCTTCTATCATAATATCAATATCTTGGCTCAACGCACTCATGTTTGTGCAACTGGCTCTTTGGTTTCTTAAAATTTAAGCATTTCTTCCCTTCAACTGCTGTTCTTTCCAACCATAGTGTTGAGGAGGTCCTGCTTGCTTGGTTGGTTGATGTTGATGTTGATGTTGATGTTGGCTGGTTTGGGGTTGAGCATGCTGACTTTTAGGGCTGCAGTTTCGGAGTTCAGTCAGAGCTTGGCTTGGACTGGTCTTGTTCGGGCAGGATCGGGCAGGATGGTTCGCCCCAACCCGGCGAAGCAGCGCCCTAAAAGACATCGCACGCAATCCCCAAGCAAACCCTACCCAACAAAAAGCCCAGAGCATCTTCTGGGCCCGGCCGAAGGTCGAAGCCGCAGTGAAGGAACTTGCCAGAACCCGTCCCAAAGAAACGGAACCACCTTCTCATCTCCCAGCTCCAGGTATGGCAGGCAATCCTTTTCAGTGAGCCACCGGCTTAGACCGGGGGAATGGGGGCCCTGCCTAGATGGGTTCGTTTTTTGGGCCCCTTAAAGGTCAAGGGGGGGGGGCGGGGTTGAGGGTGGGGGGAGGGTGTTTAGGTCAAGAAGGGGGGTTTAAGGGGGGTTTAAGGGGGGGGGTTAAAGGGGGGAAGGTTTACGAGGCGGGGTTAGGCGGGGGGTAAAGGCCTCAGAACGCCACAGCCAGGCCGAGAGCTTACTCACCTCGGAGTTCTCCAACGAGTCAGCCCAAGGACGGGGTGTGGCCGTGGGAGTTTTCCTGTGAACGATTCGAGGCCGTCAGAAAATATGGTGGCTCCCAGCCATACGGTTCTGAAGGCTGAAGGCTTTTTAGATCTTTTTAGGGTTTGGTGGTAGTTTCCGTAGCTCACTGAAAGTTAGTCACTTTTAGGTTTGGACAGCCCGGCACAGATCAAAATGGCAGGCTGTCCCTGACAAAATGTTAAGGCTGAAGTGAGTTTTCTGAGCAAATTATCAGGCTGACAAAAGATCCACCCCAAAAAGTATGAATCTCCGCAAAAGCATGAATTCTAAGGGCTGAAGTGAGTCGCTAAAAGCATCCAGTTGCGAGGCCAACCTTAGCCTGTCAAGTGAGGCGAAGGCGCCATCGGCTCGCCTCAGGACGTATCCAGTCCGAGAGGTCCTCGCGGAAGTCGTCACAGAGGTCCCATGAGATGTCGCAGAGGTCCGATCGATCGCAGGCGGGCAGTCGGGGGCGGGGCAGTCGGGGGCGGGGCGGTCGGGGGTGTTTTGCCAAAGAGGGGGTTGCTCGGGTGCAAAAAGAAATGGTGCGGGTCGTATGCGTTTTGTTGTTGGTTTATTTGTGAGGCTCTGAGGTTTTGTTGTATCCTTTAAGCTGGTTCAAGGGAAATGGGGCCCCCCTATTCTAATTAATTTGAACGCATGCGTTTGTTTTGTTTGTCTTTGAGGTTTCTTGTATCCTTTGGGCTGGTTCAAGGGAAATGGGGGGGCCCTACTCTAATTACCCATGTGAAATTGGTTTCTCATCTTGGATCTGAAATGGTTGGCTCTTTTTGCATTGCAAAAAGAAGCTTTGCCAGTTCTTCCAGCCGTTTCTCAAAATTAGGTACCCTGCAGCTGGATTACCAGTTGTGTTTGTCTTACACGGCTCTACTGCTATTGGGATTGGATCTTTAGACTTTACCTTTTTGGATACCCCTCCTATTCCCTTTTAACCTGCAAAAAGTTTCGGCACTTTTTTGCTCGGGGATCTACAGCAAAGGAGACGGGGGCCCCACATTTTTTCATGCGACGTCTTTTGGCTTCGAGGCCTCGCTCCAAGTCAGCGCGGACTTCCAAAGCTCCCTGGACGAGTTGGCGGAGCGCTGCGGGGATCTGGAGGTCCAGGCGCGCCGAGTTCGCGCCATCCGGGATCGCACGAATCGGCTTGGGGGACGTTTGCAACTTGGCTTTCCCTTGTTGGGTTTGAGCTCCCTGGGCTCGTTCTTGTTGGTTTCCTGGTGGTTTTTGTTCCTCGTTCTTCTTGTCGCTTCCCATTCGAGGGGTAACTTTCGAGGGGCACTCTTCCCCCAGTCTGCCAGTTTTTGTGATGCGAGCGGTTCCGTCTATCCGGGGGGTATGACGAGCAAAAGCCGCGATGAATGTGCTTTACTTGGGGATCCAATTCTTAAATCAGCTTTTGGAAAGTGAAAATTGCAGATCCTTTCTATTGATCCTTCTTTCCAAACCTCAACCACCGTTGTTTCAAACACCAGCCGGTTTCATTGGTTGTTCGATGGTTTTTGTCGAAAGAATCGGATCCTGGGAGGAACTGGCAAGTTCATTACTCACGGAGTAAAACGGAATAGGTCGAAAAACGTACCGCTCTCCTTCCCCCGACCAAACGAAAAGGCTGTCAACTGTTCCCCGCGATACCAGGGCTCCGTTTCGGCTCCTTACAAAGATGAAGCCAGAAACAAGTCCATACAGAACCGTTCCCAAGTTGAGCCGTTGTGTCCTGTCCCAGCCCAAAACAGAAGAAGCACAGCATGGATCCCGAAGAAACTATGGTCATACTATATGGGTGCATGTGTCTATTTAAGGGTACCTGTTTTGGGCTGGTTTTGGGAAACCTATTTAAAGGTACCTGTGTTGGGCTGGTTTTAAAGGGAAACCACAGGGACACCTCCCCTCATTTTTTGGCGGGGTGGGGGGGGGCATGTAGAAACAAACCCATAGGCCACGCTTCAGCTTCAGCGGATGCGGCACTGGCTGAGTAAAACGCGGCCTTTTGACATGTTGGTTTCCCCTTGTTGGCCCATGTTTAATTAAATGGTCCCAAATAGGTGAACCTTGTATTTTCAGGTGTCTAAGGGGAGGTGAGAGCATACAGTATTTCTCTTGGTCCGTTTTTGCTTTTCTTTCTTTGTCCTCCGGAGGTTTGGTATTTGGAAGTCCAACTTTCCAACATGATGCGCTGAGTAAATACAAGTACAATAGCGTTTCCCCTGTCATCATGACTATGCCCTAGGGTTCAACGCCATTAAAAGCATGGCAAGGACCCAATTTGGATGACAATCCTGAACGGTAAGCATTGGTGGTTGTATGAACCCAAACATGGTTTTAATGGTGGCCTGCCTGTACCCCGGGGTGTGGTTTTTTCAAGCACACAACTTCCTTTCGCTATATAATTGTTTTTCCCCTTTTGGTTTTTCCAGGGACACTGGACATGTTTTTTCTTTTTTTCCAGTGGACTTCAGCAAGGATCCGGTGTTCTTTCTTTTTTTTGTCCTAGGGCTGGTCACCCCCCCTAGTAAACCAAAAAAGAAAGCGTTGCCCACTGAAGCAAATGGAAGATCACCCGCCTTCTCGCTTTCGGGCGTGGACTTTTTGACTTTCAGGTGCAGCGCACCACGGAGACCCAGTCGCAGCTCCAGGACTTCGCGGAGCGGTTTGAGGCCTTCGAGCGCCAGGCCGCTGGGTGGCGGCCCAAAGCGGGTCGTTTCGTGGACGTGGGGAGCCGGGGAGCCAAAGAGGACGGAGGGTCAACCAGCCATTCGTGATGAACAAAGATCAAACTAAGAAATCTGGTTTCTCTAAAATCATACGGGTTTTTAATGGTTTTTAGCTCCTGTTAGTGGGTGACAGGCAGTTTAGTTGGGTCGTGGGGGGTTTAGTTGGGTTCTTTTTTGGTCCTGGGGTTGAGTCAGCGCAATTAATACAATCTGGCTGGCGCGATAGGCCCCGATAAGCAGGGAGTCAGACATTGAATGACACCGAAAAGAACCATCCCTTGTTGTTTCCTTGAAGGGAATCCCTAGCTCCTTCCTCATTCCCTGCTGAGTTGTCCCTTTGAGGGAGCCACCCCGGGAGCGGCCGCATGTTCTGAGTCTACAGCTTTCGGCACGGGAACCCCCCCATCTTCTGACCTGATTTCGAGGAAACAAAGGGACCACTCAGAAACCTGGTAGAACTTCAGAGGTAGTCCGTTTGATAATTTTGGTTTCGCTTTTTTTGCTTTCGAGCAGCAAGTGAACGGTGACGTGGCGCACCTTGCCCAAACAACCGGCAGCCCGGCTTTCCCCCCACAAATGCCAGGTGCTGTCCGGATTTCCGGGATCCATGAATCAAGGGAGGTTCCCAATGCCCTCTGTGCTATCCCATGATTTTCTTGCCTGCATGGGATGACCATTGGGGAAATCCGCTCAACAGACTAGGTTCTCCAGTGGTGCCCTTTCTCACCCCTTTTTTGGGGGAGGCTTCCCCTACTAAAATAGACTACAGAAAAAAAAGAAGAAGTTGGTATCCTTATTCTATCCTCTCTACTGGAGGACCTAGCAGATCATATTTCCCCACATGGAAAAAGTTCCCCGGGCACCGCCGCAGCATTCGGAAGGCTCTGCTCAGCGAAGAACTCCAGGACCGATGCAGGCAGCTGGAGACGCAGGCGGGGCCAGCAGCCGCCTCGAGCAAATGGGAAAGCATCGGGGGTAACTTGGGGTGACGAGCTTGCCATTTACCGAATTGCTAAACCAAGTTGCTTCAGGGTTCCACTTTTCGACTCAGACTTTTCCCAGGGGTATTGCACCACCCCTTAAGTCTACGAGTTGTTTTACTAGCCACTTAGGATTTTTGATTTAAGGTGGGGCAAACTGCCACGATTCACCAAGCAATCGTCCTTGCAAGCCGCAAATTCTCAAGTCGGTTGGGGATACAGACCCTGACCCGCGTTCCCGGGAAGCCAATCAGAGATTGCTCGTCGAGCAATGGTGCTTGAAATTTCTGTAGCTAAGGGATTGCTCCATTGCTAGGGCAGGCGGGGGGGGGGTCATTGTGCGGCACTACTGAGACGCTAGGTTGTATTCCTTGCTGCTCAACCGAATTGGCTGGTTCATTTGTGCTGTTGCAGGGGTCAAACACCACTTTATCCCCAAAGGGCCATGAGGGTATGTACAGCATACGTGTTGACCACTCACCGACTTGCCTGCCCCACCCGCAAATGGAGTTACCCAACGATTACCATCACCCAAGCTCTTTGTAGGACGACATTGTTCACCGTGCTGTTGCAGCTAAGTTGCCTCATTGCCCTGCCAGCAGTCATGGAAGTTGGCGTTGGGCCTGTCAAACTGGGCGCCCCCCCCTTCATTGGGATCGGCTCTTTGGGCGTGTACGCCAGGTCCAGCAGACCGAGGACCGATTTGAATCGGGTTCCGGAGCAAATGAGCCGCCAGGTGTGGGAAGCGGAGCTTCAATCGGCTTTTCTCGTAGATTTGTCATCCCCAGTGGATCCGTTTTTTGTGTTTTTTTTTTGGGGGGGGGTTGTGGGAAACCGAGTGAACCAGCCTTGACAACTGAGAGGAAAATAGATCGAAGGGTTAGCGAATCCACTGCCTTCAAAGAGATTCTGACTCTGATTTCCAGCACTTCGCATTTGAAGCTGATTTCCAACCAGGTTCCTTGGCCTAGGTTTCTAAGTTTAAATTCCCCATTCTCTTCACCCATCGTTCTCTTTAGAAACCGTTTCTGTTTGCCAGGTCTTTGGTCTTTTCAAGAGAAGGATCCAATCCAACACCTCAGGAGAATCAGCGGGTCTTGGAGGACGAGATCTTCGAACGCCTGCAGCGGCTCGAGAAGGCGTTTCCGCTTTGGGGCTGCGGGGAGGGGGGGGGGGGGTCTGATTTGGCTTGGGGTGAGGGAGAGGGGGCTCAGGTTCAGGGAGTTGTTGCTTGTTGTTGCTTCTTTTTCAAGGGGTGGGGGAACAGATTGAAACCTATGGGTGTGATTTGTGTGTTCAGCGTCTCTAACGTGCGATGCGGCACGGATCTTGTGACGGAGATGTGTAACGGGGGTCCTTGTTACGCAGGCAGGCCACGGGGAAACCGTGCTTGACACTTCCACAGCTCCAGCTCGCTCAAGAGTCTCAAGTCTCCAGAGTAGCGCAATGTAGGACAGGACACCAAAGCATAGGTGTCCTTTTTAGGTGAGCCTTGTTAAAAATAGATGGGTTCCACTGGTTTAGATGGGTTTTGCTCCATTTGCCAGAGACACCCATCTATTTTTCCAAAAGGCCACCTATGCACCAAATTGTATTTCCACAGCTTCAGCTCTGAAGTTGCAACTGTTCAGCGGCCGGACGGCCCAAAGTTATAAGTCACTGGACCCGGGCTGGGGTTGGGTGTGCAACGAACGAGGTATGCAACGAGGTTTAGTGTGTTTTGATAAAACCCCACCCACCTCATACGGCACGGGTCCAAGAGGCTAGTGTGTTTTGATAAGACCCCACCCCACCTCATACGGCACGGGTCCAAGAGGCTAGGGTCTTCCGGCGCCTCCCTGCTAGCGTTACCTGCTCCAGCTGTTCTTCTTTTGAAGGGCAAGCTCTCTGCAAGTTGACTCATTGACTCTGCGCAGGTATGTCCAAGCGTACTCTGCGCAATGGAACAAGAGCGCATGCAACCAGCCAGGCGGTTTTGTTCTGTGAGGTATGCAAAGAAGTTGTGTAACGAGGGGGATGTAATGAGCCCGCAGGTCTTGTTACGTCATACTTATCGTAGGGTCTGTAATAAATTGGGTATGTAGCGACCGTTTGCGGCAGCTCTGTCACATGTTACAGACTCCCCAAAAACAATCACTGCCATACTTCTCCATGGTGGTGAACATCACTCTAGGGGTTGCTTCCCCATTCTTTTCAACCATCGTTTTTTTCAAGAACCGGCTGCTGTTTCCCGTGGGTTTTTGATGGTTTCCTGAAAAAAAAGATCCCTGGAAAGAATGGACAAGATACCCCTAGAATCACGTTAAGCTAGAGTCTCCGTGACCCTTCAAACATGTGGTCATTGCCCAAAAGAAAGGTCTGACCCGGTGTCATGGAGAGGCCAATTTGGGTTCCTCAGTTGTTCAGTGGCACCCTTCTTCCCTTTTTGTTGGGTGCCTGCCCCACTAAAAATGGTCCAAGCCCCAAAAAGGGTTCCCTTCTTTTCCAGGGTCACTGAACAACTCAGGTTCCCAACCTTTCAGGAGACCGAGCGGGGCCTGGAGGACGAGATCTTCGAACGCCTGCAGCGGCTCGAGAAGGCGTTTCCGCTTTGGGGCTGCGGGGAGGGGGGGGGGGGTCTGATTTGGCTTGGGGTGAGGGAGAGGGGGCTCAGGTTCAGGGAGTTGTTGCTTGTTGTTGCTTCTTTTTCAGGGGGTGGGGGAACAGATTGAAACCTATGGGTGTGATTTGTGTGTTCAGTGTCTCTAACGTGCGATGCGGCACGGATCGTGTGACGGAGGTATGTAGCGGGGGTCCTTGTTACGCAGGCAGGCCACGGGGAAACCGTGCTTGACACTTCCACAGCTCCAGCTCGCTCAAAAGTCTCAAGTCTCCAGAGTAGCGCAATGTAGCACAGGACACCAAAGCATAGGTGTCCTTTTTAGGTGAGCCTTGTTAAAAATAGATGGGTTCCACTGGTTTAGATGGGTTTTGCTCCATTTGCCAGAGACACCCCTCTATTTTTCCAAAAGGCCACCTATGCACCAAATTGTATTTCCACAGCTTCAGCTCTGAAGTTGCAACTGTTCAGCGGCCGGACGGCCCAAAGTTATAAGTCACTGGACCCGGGCTGGGGTTGGGTGTGTAACGAACGAGGTATGCAACGAGGTATAGTGTGTTTTGATAAAACCCCACCCACCTCATACGGCACGTGTCCAAGGGGCCAGTGTGTTTTGATGAAAATCACGGGTCCAAGATGCTAGTTTTTTTTGATGAAAATCACCGCACCTCATATGGCACGGGTCCAAGAGGCTAGTGTGTTTTGATAAAACCCCACCCCACCTCATACGGCACGGGTCCAAGAGGCTAGGGTCTTCCGGCGCCTCCCTGCTAGCGTTACCTGCTCCAGCTGTTCTTCTTTTGAAGGGCAAGCTCTCTGCAAGTTGACTCATTGACTCTGCGCAAGTATGTCCAAGCGTGCTCTGCGCAATGGAACCAGAGCGCATGCAACCAGCCAGGCGGTTTTGTTCTGTGAGGTATGCAAAGAAGTTATGTAACGAGGGGGATGTAATGAGCCCGCAGGTCTTGTTACGTACATACTTATCGTAGGGTATGTAATTTCTGGGGTATGTAGCGACCGTCCGCGGCAGCTCTGTCACATGTTACAGACTCCCCAAAACAATCACTGCCATACTTCCCCATGGTGGTCAACATCACTCTAGGGGTTGCTTCCCCATTCTTTTCAACCATCGTTTTTTTCAAGAACCGGCTGCTATTTCCCGTGGGTTCTTGATGGTGAAAAGAAGAATCCCTGGAAAGAATGGGGAAGATACCCCGTTAAGCTAGAGTCTCCGTGACCCTTCAAACATGTGGTCATTGCCCAAAAGAAAGGTGTCACCAGGTGTCATGGAGACGCCAATTTGGGTTCCGAACCCCTCAGGAGACCGAGCGGGGCTTGGAGGACGAGATCTTCGATCGCCTGCAGCGGCTCGAGAAGGCGTTCCGCTTCGGGGTTTCGGGTTTGGCTTAGGGGGAGAGGGAGTTGTTGGTTTGGAAAAGGGTTCTTTGGATTTGTTGGGGGGGTAGGAGGGTTGGAACTTGGAACCTATATTCTCCTCATCACGTGCTTAGCACATCTTGGGCCAATGTAAGGTGATTTCCGTGTGGCGGCGTGATGTTTAAAGGGGACAGAAAGAGAACCCTGCGAATGGTTCAGGGAATTACTGGCTTTAAAGAGTTTTTCTTTGGAGCAGTCTGGATGGACATTGGTGGCTTTGTTTTTTTGATTGGTGCTTTTTTTGCCTGACCAGGGTTCTGTTATCTACTTGTGGCCAAGAAGACTTCAACCCATGGCTTTTGGAGACTTAAAGCGTTGGACATGACTCACCGAGTTTGAGATCACTCCGGGCGCAACCACATTTTAGCATCCCTTTAGTTCCGGGTTTGGATTGGTGGCTTGGAGGCAGATCCCAATTTTGAACATGGGGTTGGAGGGGGTGGCCCATGCCCTTCCGATCGAGTTCCATCCCCTTTTGGTGAGGACTGCAGGCCCCCCTGGCGATGAAGCTAGGGAGGTACCTTTGTTACTATATGAGGGGCATGTCCAGGTGCGGGTTGTGGAGGAGATAAGCCACATATAGAAATATATATATATATATTAAAGATATAGGTCCCCCAGTAGTGCCCGCTCTTTCACCCCTTTTTTTTGCCCCTACTAAAATAGACTACCGAAAAAAAGGGTACCCTTTTCTAACCTCTCTACTGGAGGACCCAGAATATACTGTCATGTGAGCTTATGGTGGTGGTATATATATATAGGAATCCATGCCTCCACTGAGGATGCGCGGATGACCACAGGCAACCGGGGACACCATGTAAAACCAATGGGAAAACCTTACTATAGTGGCTTGCCTGGAAGCACTGGGGGTATGCGTCAAACTAGGGCCCCAAAATGGACGTTGTTTCCTTTCGGGTTCCTTGGAAACCAAGCTGAGAAGGATACCCTCAACAAAGCACACCGACCGGGTCCGCGGAAGTAAACCCTGGGACCCATATGAACCTCTCGACGCTCAGGCCAGACGGCCCAGCGATGGTGGCAGACCGGATCTTGCGGACCTGGAGATGCAAGTGCCCAGGGCGTCAGGGGTGCTTGCTTCTTCCAGCCAGTGCAGGCGAAGCAGGCTCAAAATCTAAGACTCACTTGCCCAAAGCCGACCTTTTGACCTTTGGGTTTTCCCATGTTGGTCCATCTTTTGTAAAGATGCCAAAAGGTTAACCCTTTATTTCTGGGTCCTTTGGGCAAGCGAGAAGAACTATGTCACATCCTTTTTCATCCAACCGGGGATGTTTCCCATGGTGTCCTTAGCCTTGTCAAAATCTGGTCCCCAGCAAATTCGACCCAAGGATGTGAAAAGGGATTGTCACTAGGCCGCTGCTCAGGGAGAACTTGTGCGCAGCGCCTGCGAAAGCGTGTTGGGTAACCTACCCCAGTGCTCGCGGAAGCGCTTCGGTAATGTAGCGTCCGCAAACCGCTAAATCAACTAGCGAGAAAACAAAGAATGAGCCTTGCCCAGTTCCTGCACCACAGGGCTGACATTCCAAATACGAAGCAAAAGCATGTTCCATAGACGGAAAGCCTTTCTCCAATGCTCATCATGGACCTGAGATTGTGACCGCATGCCCTTGCCTGAGGCTGCAGTTCAACGCGAAGTGAATTGAGGTACCTGTTCCGGTGTAAGATTGAAGGGGACACGTTTGAATCGCCGCTGGACTGAATCTTTTCCTGCTCCTTTTCTTGGCCACTTGGGCTCCTGGGGGTAAGTTGCGCATACCATTTCGCGCACCTCAACCAAGTAGCAGTAGCTTCCATCGTCTTACGAATATGTGTTTTATATTTTCCTTTATTGGTTTTAAAAGGAATCTATCACTACTGGACGTATGTTTATATTTGTCCAAGGGGCTTAAGCAAACGGAAGAAAGTCATGTCTTAGCAGACAAAGCCTCAGCGTAACTTGATTTCCCGCATGATAATGTCAGTGTTAAGTACCATATATAAACCAGAAACGTAGAATCATCGCAATCCGAAGATTCCATCCCCACACCACTCTGTTGCCATGACAAGGTAGCATTCGATAGCAAGCCCAGCGGTCTGTGCAAGCCCATGTTCAGAGTCCTGGGTACAATGTATACTTAGTAGCATCCATACCCCCAGACCTTCAGTGGTTTTGGTCATGCAACTTGAATTGTTGGTGCCTACCATCACTAAACACACAGCACATGAACACAACCGGCGGCAATGAAAGTCCCGAGCCTGTCAAGACATTTCTAGGTTTCATGTCACTTTGTCAGGGGGTGAAATGCAGATCGGGGCAAACTACAGCGTCTTAGCATACCCAATTGGATTTGCAAACGAAATCACCCACATAAAGCTTGCTATAGGGATAGCTGGCTTTTGGTCACTCAGAATTCACGATTTGGATCTATGGGTAGCGCATGACTTCGTTTGGATGCACGATGATGCACAGCTTGTCCCTTGGTTTGACCGGAACTCGATCCATTTCGAAGCATCAGCGGGGTCGGGTCTTCGGAGGTACAAGAGCTGGAAAAGCAGGTCAAGGCCGGACGTAGTGGACTGTGTTCCAGGGGATTCATGCTGTTAACGCACGAGAACTGTCCGTGTGACGTTGATTTGTTTTTTGCGGTTTGCTTGTCATGATAAACATGACCATGCGTTGCCACTAGTTTTAACTGTCCGGTCTCCTTTGCGGTTCTGAAGGGAGACAATAGCAGAGTTGGTACACAGAGAGGTCTTTGTCGAATCATTGGAGCTTTGGACCAGAGTTGCAGCCTGGATTGTTTGTTCGCGACCTAAAAAGGGGGCTTGCGACCTCGCCCATGTGATCTCCTTGGACAAAGACCGACTTCCCTATTTGTGGGTGGGGCTGGGCCCTTTTCCAACACTGCAAGTGGACGGGCCCTTCCAAATGGACTGCGGTCTTACAGAACCTCTTTTTCATCTCCGAAAAACAGGTTCATCTCCATGCTTATTGGAGAAAAAAGAACGGTACAACCTACAGGCAGAATCCCTTGCCTAAACTAGTGGGTACTCAGCTAAAATCCGGAGGCAAGACACCCTTGCCTTTGGAGAAGTGCTGCAAGAAGCCCTTGCCTACCGGCCAAGCGCCGCAAGAAGCCCTTGCCTATATGTGCGAGAAAAAAAAAAACAAAAAACAAAAAACGGAAGCACCGGGGCACCGCGCAACTCCTCCGCCGCTCGCGGATCCCAGGGCCGAAGGCCCAGCCGCGACGTGGCGGATCAGCTCTCGGACCTGGAGAGCCAAGTGCCCGCGATCCGACGGATGCGACCGAAGCATCGGAAGCCGAAAACCGCTCACTTCCCGAGCTCCGTTTCGGGGCTTGAGTCGCAAAATTGGGATCTGGTGGCCAGTTGAGTGGCAACGAACGACAAGTTTGGAACTTGTTGTTGGCTAATCCGCTCAGGAAGCAAGACCTGGAAAGGGGGCTAAATTGAACACCAAACTATAGTCCTTGGAGGAAACGAATAGTACTTAGCTCGCCCCATGAATGACCCCCTCAACTGGGCTGTCTAGTGCAATCCGCAGGATCCGGGATCCGGGTTGCGAAAGTGGTCCCCGTGTCGTGCCGTTTTCTCAACTCAGGATGGTGGATTTGGGCAACAGGCCATTTTTGAAGAGCCGAGCCTATCTGTCGCTTGGTTCCTTGGTCTTTGAAGACCTCAAAGCAAAAAAGAGCAACTAGCAGGGAGCTGCACGTAATCGTAGCCCTCTAGTCGCACTCTCATAGGCCCAGCAGCTTTGCCGTTCGGATGGCAGGGAACGGGGTGGTGGCTGTCAGGTACAGGAGCTGGAAAGGCACGTCCTCCAGGCCCCGTTTCTCTTTCGAAATGCGACAATGCTTCAGTCCCAGCAATGAACAGGTGCAGCTCTCTTGAAGCTTTGCGCGGTTGTTTAGCACACTCCGTCAAATTCAGGTGTTGGTTGTGACTCAAACAACTAAGGATGGTTTTTTGAGGCACGCAGTCAGCATCCATTTCGAGGCTGAATGGTTGGCCGCATGCAAAACCTGCCCAGTGGCCACACTTTTCCTGCAATGGAAGTGCCCCCAAAGCACCTCTCATGGCGAGTTTTCCAACTAGCCTGGCATTTCTGCAGAGCCAACACGCGATGGAGTGGCCAACCCCTGTCAATGCTTTGAATCCCTCAATGCCACATTTGGGTGTGTGCTCTTTTCATGCGTGCCGCCGAGGACGGACGCAGGTAACATTTATTTATCAACATGAATGTACAACTTGCAAAGAAGAGCGAGCAGTAGACGCAACCCATGCTGACGATTGCTTGAGAGTGACGCTTACCAGCCTGCCGCATGGCACAAATCCCCTTATGTGAGCAAACAAAGGGATTGACTAAACCAACAGGGGAAATCGTGTTGATTCTCACCCAACAATCTCGCATTGTCCATGCAACAGGTGTGAATTGTCCATGCAACAGGTGTTATGGGCTAGGCGTGAATGTTGACCAAGTCATGTGGCAGAAGCAATCAACCATCACCCGAAGCGCCTGCGGTGAGCATTAGCACGCTTCCCCGTATCTCCCCTCGCCTTGGTGGATTTGAGCGCCTTTTGGGCCAACCTAAAGTGAAAGATCTGTTTTGGGATTCCTGGAATGGGAACCTCGAATGAATATACTTCTAATAATAGGTGAGTGAGCCGTTGAAGTGAGGCATACCTTCACTTTGGGGAACACCCGCAAATCCGCTAGGCCGGGGTCGACAGTACAGAGTCTAAGTCTACGCATTCAGAGTCAATTGTATCAAGTGCAGCCCGTTCCGCCGGTGAGGGCCAGCAGAGGCGGCCCAGCAAGGACAGCGCAGCGGATCAGCTTGCGGATCTGGCAAGCCAAGTGCCCCAACTGTGACTTCGGGGTGTGCTAGACGGGCCCTGTGGCGTCTTTTTGGAGGCTACCATTTTGGGAAAACCACACCCCCAAGTTTTGAAGACACACCACCTTTCCCGGCTGTTCAGCTTCAAACCACTTGGTTGGGGTGAGCTGACATGATGTTTCGACCTGGTCTCTTCTGAACGTAGTGCTCACGGAAGGCAGGGACAAGGGAAGACGTTTCATGGCCGTCGTTGGGAATCATTTTCCATTTTTGCTTGTTGTGGTCGAGTGGGAAATCCCCACTAAAGTTCATTTTTGTTGCTCCCCTTCCAACGTCAACCAAAGGTTTGGGGCCAATCAGAACCTGCAAGTGCCAAGCTCCGTTCTGGCTCCGGCACCTTGCTTGTTTTTCTGGCAGGGGCCGAAGGTGCGGGCGGTTGTGATCCACCAAGACATGGGGGGAGGTTCTCAGAGTAGGAGTCGCTCCCCTAAAAAGCTTGGTAGCCTTCTCCCCTGCAAAGCTTAATTAGTAGCCTTGGTGGTTTGCTTTGCAAGCCAGAACGAGGCTTAACATTTCAGAAGCACTCAGGCAACTGGGAGAAGGGCGCTTGGGGAAGAAATGGGAAGAGCTAGAGGGTCGTTCAGTTTCAGTTTGCAGTTTGCTCAGAAATGGTGTGAAGTGGGGTTTGCTCATCTTCACTGTTCTTGGCAAGATGTCTTGGGAGTTGTTTGCTACCATACCAAGGGTTGTGAAATCATTCTGTGCCGTTGCTCATTTGTTGCTTCCGTTGTCAGGGCTCTCAAAACACCGAAACCAAGCCATTGCCGACCTCCTGAAGTGCCTCCGAGCCGCTTTGGAGGTACAGCAGTTGGAGAAGCACGTGTTGAAGGCTGGCGAATATCCCCACCCCCTTAAAACGGAGTTGGGAGAGGGGGGTGGAAATTCCACTTTGGTTTATGGGGAAGACTCGAAAAATGGGATGGGCGGAACCCCCCCACGCCCTCCCCGGTTAAGTAGGGGGGGAATTGGCGAATGTTTGCTCGCGGCATCGACAATCCAAGCCACCTGAACCACCAAACCAATCCAAGCCACCAATTACAGGGAAGCTGATAAACCTTTCAACCTTTCGACCCCTCATTTTCGGCCAGAAGGGACCTCCTGAAACACAATGGCTTCTGCACTCGAGCCCAAGGGGGGCATGAAACCTGTTTCAGTAGCCAACCAAAGACCAAACATGCCTACGCCAGCTGGTGTTTTGGATATTGTGGCAGACATCACTCATTGAAATGCTGATTTGGTTGTGCGGACATTCCTCACATCGCTTTGTGACTTTGTGAGGTTCGGATTTCTTCAAGTGTGCGGTGTGGCCATTTTGAACACAATCTAACCCTGAGCCTTGCTCTTTCATTGATTTTTCCAGAAGCAGGTCACCCTAAAGTCAGGAACCCAATAAAATCTACATGCGCCTTGCATTACTGCGCGGCGTGCTCAAAGCTGCCTTTCCATGACAGCATCGTCAATAGGCTCAAGGCCACACCTTGGGGATCCAACCAGCTAGAGGTTTGCTTTCGGTTGGTTTGGCTCAAAGATTTCCCTGCAGTCTTGTCGCATGTGGGCTGACCCCGAAAAAGCCAGTGCCAAACCGAAAAGGCATTGGTCATGGCCCTATCAGGTGGGTCCCGAGCCGGGGCAACTGAGCGTGCGGGGAGTTGCTGACCCTAGCACATACATCTACAATATATACATTTGCCTGTATATATATATATATACATATGCATGTATATATTTATATACATATATATACACGCCTATATATACTGTATATGTATGTGTATAAGCCTATATAGATGTATCCACATATTTATGCCTATATATATATATTCCTCTACATATACATATATATATATATATACAGATATGTATGCCTATATATATATATATATATGCATATATATATATATATGTCTATCAACATATATGCCGATCTTTAAACAGGAGGTGTGTTCTTTATACCCCATATCACCAGCTTGGCCATACCCCGGCTTCGGCCTTCAGATTTCCGCTCAGGCCCAAAGGCGGCCCAGCAACAGCGATCAGCTCTCGGACCTGGCGAGCCAAGTGAGCCACAACCAAAACCCGGGGAGATGAAGGTCAGGGGACGACTTCCTTGGGTCAGTCAGTCAGTCAGGGACGGTTTATGGAGGTCATGCCATTTGTGTCACAATCAAAACTCGGGTAAGTGAAGGCTAGTCAGGGACGATCTCAACCATAAATAGCTGCGGATATCCGCCTTCATCCTTGAAGCATGGTTAAAATGGCTTGGACCATTTTACTACCGGGTTCTGAGTATGACTCAACTGCCCGTTTTCTAGGGGCGGAAGTTCTGGTTGGCTGGCTGCGGGTTGCGTGTGGCAAAATGCCGGGACCCCCTTGAATGGCAAAACGGTGTTCCTACGGCTCCCTTGCAAAAAAGGGTAGCCTGAAAGAAGACCCATGTTGGTAGGTAGTTGGGTCTGAAGCCGGGAACCACTATTTGAGAAACAGCCGAACAATCGGCAAGGGGCCGACTTCGGGCTCTAGGATCTACCATTCCAACTCTTGCAGTTGAACAAGCTTGAATCTCGAAAGGTTGGATGTTTGCCTTCCAAATGTCGATGTTTACTCAAGGTGCTATTTTTTTGTTCGGAGCAGCTTGCAGTAGGGTTTCTGACGAGGTTGCGCCAGAGATGCTCTGCCCTCAACTGTGGGAACTGGTATCCCCTGGTTTGTCAAGTGTATCCCCTCTTCTTGGTGGCTCCCAGCCATCCCCTTAGCCTTTTAGCCTTTTAGTGTTTAGTGGTAGTTTCCATTTAAGGCACTAACAGTTAAACTTTCAGCGGGGGGGTCGGAGGACAGCCCAGTCTTGTACTCCTTTTATGACCTTTGTCGTCCTTTCAGCGCCTACACTCTTTCGGTGTTTCTCAGAATGGACCCAAACAACTGCATCCCTGACAGGCTTCCCCTCAAAACGCCCCAACAAGAGCTTCACCTTGGGGTGTTTCCTGCCATATAGCTGTATGAACCAGCAGCATTTGCATCAGCCCATTGCTGGCAAGCCTGTCATCCGCTTAACTCAAGTGCTTGATTTGCGAGAGGCCAACGAGGCCCGAAAGTTTGCATCACCGTCAACGGCACCCACAGCCAAAAGAAGTTGGTCATTGAGAAGGCGGAAATGGCGGTTGAAGAGAACCCCGAGGGGGGCTATCAGGTCCTTCAGGTGGGCCTTGCCGCACGAATCCCAACTCATCCCCTCCCCGTCAAACCAGCAGGTTGTATAACGTATCTCCAAGCCAAGAAATGTCAACTTGATTCGCATGGGCAAACAGATTGTATCATTGCAACCCAAGAAAAGACACAAAAAGACAGGAATGGCGAATGTCCGGTTCAGCTTTTAAGGTACAGCAGCTGGAGAAGCTTGTGCAGGAAGGGCTCAAGGCGGGAAAATCTGTGATTCGCTCGAGCGGAGCAATCTGCAAATTCGGCAACTTGCTTGGGGTCCCCGCAACCAGTCACCTGGTTATCATATATGTATGTATATATATATATATATACACATAGAGATGTGTGTCGTGTTTTTATTCTTCTTTTTCCGGGTAACCCCTTTTTGGTTGGTTTTCCACCAGCAAACCAACCGGAAAACCGACGCCATTTCGGGCGGTCCCTTACAAAGGACAGTCCCATGTAGACGAAGTATGACGGTATTCCAGCATTCCTTTAGGTTGACCTGAGTCAAGCCCTGCTTGGTCTTGATTGGGTGGCTTCTTTTCCCAAACATGGATTATTTGCTCCACAGGGTTCTGTTCCCCTTGCAGTCACAGGGAAGTAAACCAAATAGGCATCCTCGTTTTAGGTTGGACCCCCCAAACTGGTGGTGGTGTTGGTTTCCAACAAAGGGGTACACTCAAAACATGGAACTGCACCTAGATTGAATGTGTGGATCGGAATTCCGATCGCATCAATGACCCAAATGTGGGCCTCACACAGTTTCGCTTTGCCGCCTCCAAGCTTCCTGCACCCGGCTCTTCCAGGCAAGCTCGTGTAGGTAACCCTTCGGGTTGTTTACCTCAAACGCTTAATGGAAACCATGGATGGTTTCCATTGGAGTGGCTTGCCAAGTTCACTTTTGGGGAGTTGCTGGACATTGCTGAACCAAGCACTCGGAGAAGTTCAACTTCCGAGTCATCCCGTGGCAGGTGGCTTATGCGGGAGATAGTTGGATAAGCTTTTTTGTCTCCGGTTCGGCACCAATGCCAGGGATGCCAGGATACAAGGGCGTGTCTTTGTTGAAGATCTCGCTGTTTCAAGCGATGTTCCAGAAAAAGCCGCTTGGATGTTCCCCCATTTCGAGACAAAGCCGGGTGCACAAACTATGACAAGCTAACTGAAATGCCCAAACACATGATGAAGGTTCCTTGGGTCACCTTATCTCTGGTCGCTTGTTTATATGGAAGGATATTGACTATGCAAACTCTCTGTGTACTTGTTTTGCCCTTATACTATCAGTCTAAGCCCATCACACATTGCCGATATGGGTGTGGCTCAAAATTTCACTGGAGGGGTTACGCAGGTTTTGGTCCATGTTTCCACTTACCAGGGCAACCCATTTTTGGTACCGGTTTTTTGAGCCACAGCCATATACGGCTCTGTCTCCCTGGTCCCCAAAGATTAGACTTTGACGTGTGTGGTGTACGCAGGTCTGCTCCAGCCATACCTAACCCTATTTTCCCATCATGACTTCTGCCAGGATAATGAGCAATGAACTATGTCTCCCTGGTCTTTAAATATCATATGTTGATTGCTGGGGTTTATGCAATGTGATATTATTGTCGTATGGTCATGATTTCTTTTGGTTGTATGGTGTCTCCTCAAACATTCATTGCTTGCTCCCTCAATGTTTGACGCTCCAACGGGAGAAGCTCAAATCGGACATGCCAGGGGCCGACATCCTATGCTGCACCAACAGAGCCAAGCGAGGCGAGCGAATGTGACGTTCATTGCAGACTTGCATATGGCAAGGCCGCTCGCTCTCTTTTTGTTTCTCTCTCTCGCTCTCTCTCTCTCTCTCTCTCGCTCTTTCTATCTGTACTATGTATTTATTTGTCTTTCTCTCTGCCTCTCTGTCTGTCTATCTAGGTATCATTGTATCTATCTATCATATATAATCTATCTATCTATGTATCTATCTATTTGTTTGTTTGTCTGTCTATCTGTCTATCTGTCTATCTGTCTATCTGTTTGTCTGTCTATCTGTCTATCTGTCTAACTGTCTAGCTGTCTATCTGTCTAACTGTCTAGCTGTCTATCTGTCTAGCTGTCTATCTGTCTACTTGTCTCATCTATATCTAGCTATTTATCTATCTATCTATCTAATCTAGTATAATCTAATTACTCTTGTCGAATCTATTCTATTATATTTGTCTATGTATCTATCTGTCTACCTAGCTGCCTGTCTATCTATCTATCTAATCTAATCTAATGGATTCTATTCTATTCTGATCTAACCTAATCTATATATCCATCTATCTATATACCTACCTACCTACCTACCTACCTACCTACCTACCTACCTATCTATCTATCTATCTATCTATCTATCTATCTAACCTATCTATCTATCTATCTGTCTGTCTATCTGTTTATCTGTGTATATGTCTATCTGTCTATCTGTCTCTGTCTATCTGTCTATCTGTCCATCTGTCTATCTGTCTATGTCTGTTTGTCTGTCTATCCTATCTATCTATCTATCCATCTATCTAATCTTGAATTTAATCTAATCTAATCTATTCAATTATATTTATCTATCTATCTAATCCATCTATTTATCTGTCTATCTATCTATATATCTATTTGTTTCTGTATTTCTTTCTTTCTTTGCTTGTTTGTTATGTGGCTGCCTGATTGTCCGTCTTCTTGTGTTGACATGAGGATTGAGCAACGGGTTTGGCGACCCTTCAATACAGCGGCACAGCATGTCCCTGAAATGGGTTTGTTCGGGGAGCTTTGAGAGTTGAACCCGGACGTTGGGATTTGGGACAAATATCCCCGGAGAAAACTAGAAAGGAGTATTGGGATGATGTTCTTCCAAGAGGTACCTCCAACAAAAAGCACATCCCCCCCATTCATCCACCGGGTTTTGCTGGGCCAAACTTGGAGCCCCCTGCACAGAGCCGGCTTTTGGTTTGGTGCCTCTTGAAGTCAATGAACATAAAAGAACGCCCCTGTTCCCGCAAAAGAAGACACCCTGTGCCCGCCCAACCGGAGGTTCTTGATGCAACATGCTTGGCATAAAGTTCACCCATGATGCTTCCAAGATTCCTAGTTGCATTGTTATCTGGCTGGCTTAGTGAAACGGGGATGGCTGTTGTTGTTTCAGAATCCGACAGAGCAAATTGGTATGTGTCAAAATATGGTATCCCCCCCACCAACAACACAAAGGAAGAAACAAGGGTGTTCTTTTTCGTTTTACAATAACCTGAAAGGGTACCCTCAAACATACACAAGCCCAAATGAGCAAATTGGAGGTTTCCGAGCACCTGCCAGGTTTGATATACCCAATATATGGTCGAAGACTGTTTTCCCGGTTTCAAGTTGGACGCACAACGATAAATGCAGGAGCCCAGTTGAAGCTATATTCCCCAGATTAATATGGAACCATTCGTAGAGGACGCTCCTTGGTTTTGGGACCTCCTCTTGAACCCCCAAGGACACCGTTCGTAGAGGACTCTCCTTGGTGTTGGGACTTTGTGGGGGGAGCAACTGTTTGCAACTGGAGAGCTATAAGTCCCTCTTTGTTTTGCAGTCAATGCCCTGAACAGCTGCACCAACGCCCCAAAGTTGGCACTTGCTTGTACAAACAATAAGGAAACATACTGTGGACTGTGGATGGACCAAATCCTGGCACCACTTTGAAACCAAGAGAGCCCCTTAGTTTTTTCGTTGTTGGTATTTTCGTTGGGGAATCCAATCCAGGGTTTCTTAGTGCGAAACGGATTTGGCAACCATCCATGTATACCGCGGTATGGCAGTGGCGGAACATACTCGCTCCGAAACAAGCCCCAGATGCCCACACGCGATCCTTGTTTTAGACCCTTGGCATCATCTGCAACTTCGTTCCAGACCCTCTGCTCCGACCTCCAATCCAGACCCTCATAGCAGAAAGAGTGGTAAACGTGAGGATTGCTTTGTTGTTTTATTTATGTTCTTTTTGTTTTATGATAATTTGTTTTAAACAAATCACAGGCAACACACACACACATACAGGAAATATATCAAGAGAGATGCTATGAGAAAGAGAGGGGCAACGAGACAGTGAAACAGAGAGATAATAAGAGAGATAAACAGAGAGCGATGCAACGAGAGATACGAGAGATTAACAGACAGAGCGAGGAGACACAACCACATAAGAGATGAAGAGAGAGAGAGAGAGAGAGAGAGAGAGAGCGCAAAAGATAAAGACCGAGAGAGAGAGAGAGAGAGAGAGAGAGAGAGTGTGAAAGAGAGAGAGAGAGAGAGAGAGAGAGAGACGGAGAGAAACACGTACAGATACAGCAAGAGAGGAAGGAGAGAAAGACGGAGTGAAAGAGAACGGGAAAGGAGAAAGGCCTGGGAGGAAAGAGTGGGAGATTCAGCTTTCCAGACCAGGAGACGGCGAGTCCTTTTTGCAGATGGAGCCTAATATGGTTGATGGGGCAGTGAGTCATGGTTCAAGACTTGCTTTGGTTTCCTCGGCTTCCCTTTGGTAGCTCAGGACCCTTCTCAAGTCGAGGCCTTCAACGGCTACCCTAAGGTTTTTTTTTCTCCCTATAGCATCTTGGACCCCCTCGAAAAGGCTGGAGGGAAAACCAATGGAGGTTCCAACTGCAATGGAGGGTTATTTCTGATGCTTGGGCTATGAGCAAATCTGAGGGTCCTTTCTGATTAGGGCCCCACTCGCCCGTTCCCCCACGCCTCTCAGGACTCCGAGGGTTTTCTTGTGGTTTTCCCTCTACCCTCAGCATCTTGGACCCTCAGAAAGGCCCTTTTGGGCCTGTGAGCAAATCCAACCTCAGTGTCGGCAGGCAAGGAGCTCGAGCGCGCAGGACGTGTCGCTCTGGGTTTGTTTGGCAGATTCGGCACATTTGGCCCCAGAGAATTGGTTGCTGTTGGGTACCCTTTTGTTTTTGAAAGGAGACGGGGGGTGCAAGGTGAAAGTACTTGACTGTCAAGTGTTTCCATGCGGACTACCCAAGAAAGGGACATGGAAATCCCTGTTTGGCTGTGTCTTTTTAGGTGGACCCCCCAAAATGGGTGTTTTCTTGTTGGTTTCCTCTTGAAACCACCAAAAAAGGCAAATACCCTCCAAAAATACTGATTTCTCAAGCATCACGGAGACCTTCAGGTACCTCTTTGGTTTTCGTTGGTCAAACCGGATGCAGTGCCAATTCGCCAAGGGACCCATTCGTGGCCATGGACGTCCCGCCTCTTTGATCGGACTCTCCTGCCAGGACGTCCCAAAGCCGCGCATTCAGATCCTTTCGCCGGAAGAACCTCAGGTCCGGGGTGGCAAGTTGCGTGGCTCGAAGCTGGGGCTTCATTTTGGGAATGGACCACCCCTGGGTTTACCATGTTTTTTTTACAAATCCAAGTGACCAAAAGATGGTGCTCGGCTTATTGAGGCAATCCAGAACGGATTCCTGGCCATACCTTGCTTGGCTGTATTCCAGCTGGTTCGAAGGTCTGGCAAGTTTGTGTTGTTTTGGTTCCAGCACTGCTTTGGAGACACCGACAGGCAAAACCTGCGCCTGAGCCCACGCCCACACCGACAGGCAGACGGGGCAGAGGGGACAAGGGTAGATGCATGTATTTCGCTGTCTTTCAGGTCCAACTTTTTGTTTGAAATGATTGTTTATGGTCAGCTCACTCGATATGGAGGATCGAACATACTAGTTTCAGTCGGCCAAAGCTGGAGTAGAGATGAGCCGAGGATTGATGAGGGTTGTCATTTTAGACGCGTCCTTAGCCACCCCCGGAGGATGCAAGCTTCATTGTCAAGTACCAATCCCCTTTCTTAAACTATGGCTTTGGATAGACACGAGACCAGCAAAAGATACCAGCTGGGCATGTTTCAACCTTCGTAGATCAAATCTGATGACGGTTCCAGCAGCCATCATACATTATGTAAATTATGCACACTGGCTTTGGATAGACGCAAGTCCAGGACAAATATGGCCATGAATCTAAATAGGGAATTCTCTCAAAAGTGGCTGGTGGACACAAATCCCCATGTAAATGATGAGGGTCCCCAATTAAAGTTCACACCCATATATCAGCTGGGCATGTTTTCAACCTCCGTTGAGCAGGCAAATTCTGAGGATGGTTCCAGCTGCCGTCCAATAAGCCAAAGGGGGGGGGGGAAATCATGCGCGTAGCTCATTACACCAGAAACCAACGAGGAACCGAGTGAATGGGGAAAGGCAGACAAGACGATGGAGAATAAGACCCGGATATGAGAAACACCTGAGATTGATTATAAGAGGTCCCGTTACAAAGGGAATCCTTTAAAGGCTGAGGGAAACACCTGTGTATTGACCCCGCAAGGTTCATTCCGGGCATGCGATTTGGATCAATGGCAAACTTTTGCCCCGCCCCAAAAGCCCACCTTTGAACATTGAAAGGCTTTATAGTGGTTGCATCTCCCAGTAAACTCCTGGGGTAGTGGTTTGGGAGTAGTGGAAGCCATCTTTGGTGAAAGGCCTTCCCATTGGACAGTGTTGGTTAGAGCAGTCAGCCACCTGCTATCCCACTCGACGTGTTGACTTTCAGTCTGGTTTCAACCAGAAAGGTTGACCTGAGCACAATCAAAGATTGAAGCGGGCAGTGACGTCTACGGATCTGGTGTGTCTCCACAATAGGCAACCCCCTTTTCATATGGCGTTGGGACATGTTGGGACACCCCGAGGAAGCCAACCACCGCAGGAGGGGTCCGCGTTCAAGCGATGCTCACAATCGTTTCGGCTTCAGAGAGCCGTTGAATACAAACCAGCCTTTCTGGCGAATGTTCATGTACGCCCGGGTTTGGCCGAAGAAACCCAACATAAATACCAGCAAACGGTATGGATTTCACCATGGTTTTCAAGTGGTGCGAAATCGATTTGGTCCATCCAGAGTACCATCTTACTTCTTCGGAATTTGAAAGGGACGCCACGAGGGGCCGCCAGCAGCAGTGAGTTTGTCAGGCGATCTCTGGAGGCAAGGGCCGATCGCTGGAATCAATCACTTCTCGGATGGATTGGGTTTGTCTCTCTTGTTATCGCGGAACCTGTTTGGTGGGTTCATGTCAGGGGAAACCCAGAAAGAAAGCATTCGGGGCGGGACAAAGCTAGATGGACCCTAAGTGCTGGAAACTTCACATGGTGCCATGGCTCTGTTTCATTCTGTATCGTGCTTGAATGTTGGGTGCATATATAACGTTATCGACAGGAAACGGGGTGCGCCGGCGAGTGACCAGAACCGTGGGCTATGGACCCCAAATACCCACTTCTTTCCCCGCCAAATCGCATGCTGCATTCTCTGGGCGTGGCTTCGCGAAGCACAAAAAGCAGGAACAGGGAATCTGAGCCGAGCAGAGAAGCGATCAACGCGTTCCGCGGAGAAGCGATCGACGCGATCGTTTTGGACTTAAACTCTTTGGCTGAAGCTTAGTGATTGTCCGTGGGAAGCACAAGTCAGAACTTTGTGCAGAGGGGTCAAGAGCAACCAAGTTTTAGTGGATGGTTTGCTTTTGCTTTGCCATCCTTTGGGCTCCGGCCAAATTGGCAGAAAAAACGACCACCTGGAGTCTCCATGACCCTTTAAACATGGTTGGTCATGAACCCATTAGGGTCATGACCAACCATTTTCAAAGTGTCAGAAGGAGACTCCAGGCGGTCTCCAAGAGCTCAAAGATCTCAACCCCCGCCCCCCCCCTTCTGCCGGTGCCAGGCTGCGGCCCCGGCCTCTGAGCGCCTCCTCGGTGATGACATCGCCGGTGGCTTCGGAGGATCGACTCGCCTCGACTGGGAGCGGTGAGACCCGGTCGCACTCGGCTGGGAACCAGAGATGTCCTTTTTGGTTGTTTTGCTCTCAAAAAAATCGATGGGTTTCGATTCCTGGTTTACCTGGTGGTTTAATCATCTACCAGGGAAACCCATCTATTTCCCCGAAAAGGACGCCTATGTTTACAACTGATTAGTACACTCCCTGCCCCAAAATCTCCCCTTCAAGGTCGACAAGGCTTGGACATTTTCCGAAGCCCTTTTCTTTTGGGGAGCCCTTGACTGGAGCTAGCAGTTCTGTAAGGATGTCCCGAAATTCGGTTTGGGGACCGGAATTCAAGGATCTGACTTTGAGAATCTAAATTGTTCTGACCAAGGGACCTAGCTGTAGGATTAAGAAGCCCCCATCTGCATGAGTCACACACCGTCCTTTGAAGTAGTCATAGCACCCCATTCATGGGTGGCTTGCATTTTTGGGGGGTTGGTACCATTGTGTTGGTGGTGTTAAGGAAAACTCAAAGGACAGCAAAAGATTGCAGCGCTCTGATTCGTGAAAAGGACACAGCCAAATTGTTTTGGGTCGACCTACTTCAATACCCGGTTTTGAGTGTGACTCGGGTGAGAGTCAAAATTCGTCGAGAGCCAAAAAGCCAAGGCAAACTAGCCCCGAGCCTCGGAAAATCGAGGGGACCTGGAGCTGTGTGATCTTTTCATTTCCAAGCGCCGTATTACAACAAGGGCCGCTGAACCCCCCCTGAGTGCAGATTCGAAGGAGAGTCGTCGTTTGCCGTGGCTTGGATGGATGGATGGATGGATGGATGGATGGATGGATGCATGGATGGATGGATGGATGCATGGATGGAGTGACGGCTGGACCAGGCGGATGAATAGATATCGCACACATGCGTTCATACAGCTTCAAGTTTTTCTGGCCAAGCTACAAGGGGGTGAGATGGGAGACCTTGGCAATATGCGTATGCTAGCTGCAGTCGTGACACCAGTCCCGATCTTCTGGCATAACCGGCGGCATCAAAAAAGGTTTGTGACGATGAAGGCTCCTACTGGTTTCTTGATGTTCGATTCCTTTCTTTTGGGTAGTAGCTCCATTGTTGAAGGGTCATGGAGGCTTCAGGCGGCTTCAGGTAGTCATTTGCCCAGAGATGTCGCTCTTGCGCCAGGATTCACGGGAGCTGTTCCACGGAGAGGCAGGTGCTGGGATCCACGACTCTTGCACTGGCCGGGTAGAGTTTGATTGAAGTGAAGATGTGCTGATTTGTCACCATTGCGTAAAGGCACGTCGTTTGCGTTGAACCTGTCGATCTCGATCTCACTTCGCTTAGCTTTACCTTTAGAAGCTGTTCCGGGGCGTGGGATGGGGGTTTGGCAGAGATCCATTTGGGGATGGTTCAAAACCAAGTACCATTTTGGGATAGGTGCACCACCCATTTTAGAACCTATTTTACTGGTAGTGGGGATTGGGATGTTCACTGGGGGATCACCGGGGTTTTGACCCATGGCCGTTTGTCTTTGACCACGTGGCCAGCGGAGCTCGCTGCCACTTGTTCTTCAAAATGACCCTCTTGTGGCCCCGCTGAAAAGGGAGGTATCATCCATGGTGGAGTTTGTCCATGACGTAGGCCTGAAGCACCAAATCGAGTTCCTGAAAGTCAACAGTTTTGTTGTTGGAGGGGGGGGGGAGGCAAGGTCCGAAATTCCAATTGTCACACAACGGGCGGGGCCCAAACTCGGAACCCTTTCTTTTTCGAGAAGGCCTCAGATGACGCACGGCTCAGTGAGGAGTGTTGCTCTTGTAACTGGTCTGGCCTGGACACTTAGATTCGAGTTGGAAAGACTGTTGTGGACATCCTGCACGTGGAGTGAAGGCTTGCACGTTCCTCCTCTTGCTGGGTGGGCAGGTGTACCCTTGTTCCACGCATTGTTCTAGGGGTAACTTTCCCATTCTTTCCAGAGATCCTTCTTTCTAGAAAACCACCAAAAACCCTTGGGAAATGGCTGGTTTTTGAAAAGAACGATGGCTGAAAATAATGGGGAATCAACCGAAATAATTGTCTTATACATGTTCCCAATGTAAGCAAACCAGGCCATATGAAGCTTATATGTCAGGGGTGGTATGAGTTTGTGAGCGAGCACGGATATTTGCTGCCGGGGACGTTGGTTCGGGGCCAGATGATCTGTGATTCAAAGGGTCTTGCAAATAGCATGCAACCCAACATGGGTGTGGGCAAAAAATAGGTACCCAACATGGAACCTCAAACTTGACTAACACCCCAAAAGCGCCAAAAGGATATTCGACTCAGGTGCCATGCGGTGCTAGTTTGCATGGGAGACAGAGAGGGCTGTGCCAGTCAAAACGGCTCAAATGAGCCACTTCAAGATCGAGGTCGCTCAGAGGACGGGTTTCAGTTTCAGGAGTTGGAATACCAGGTTCATAGGTGTCCTTTTTGGTTGTTTTGCTGAGTTTTGCTGGAAACATAGATGGCACTGGTTTAGCTGGCAGCCCCTCGAAGGCGACCTTGTCTCTGAACATGGAAACCTCCAACCCCACCTATAGGTCCCCCAGCTAGGTGCCCTTTGACCGTTTCTTTTTTTTGGGGGAGGGTTTTTTCTTACTAAAATTGACCGCAGAAAAAACAGGGCGCCCTTATTCTAACCCCCCTACTGGAGGACCTAGCCTCTAACCCCGCTCCAACCCAAAAAGCCCTCGCCCTTGCACGGACTCCGTTGCCTGGCGCGAGCTCACGGGCCAGGGCGCCAAAGCCATGCAGCAGGTCTTACGGGGTCTGTCCCACGACTCCTTCCAGGCCGATCAAAAGAGAGGAGGTTCCTGAAGAATCTCGCCTAAGAAACTGAGCCGAAAGCTGAGGTTCAACCCTTTTCTAATTCAGGGACTTAACTAAATCAAGAGTGATCCAATGGTGGTTGATGCCGTAAATGGCAATTTTCATGTGCAGGGATGCCTGAAGGCGCACCCTGACATTGGATGCGTGATAGCGTGATATCGACACATTCGGTGAATGCCTGGAGGTCTTACTGCCAGGTGTCCACTGCTAGACGCCAACTTTCCCGAAAGCTTACAAATGACCACAGTCACTTGTCTCCTCAGAAAATAGATTCTCTTCTTTTTTTTTGCGAAGCATATTTTTTTCAGAAGCCTTTTCTTGGCAACTCCGGTGTGTTATTTTGAGCTGGGAACGTTTCTGGATTGTTCGCACTGCGATGTCAAGCTCACGCGCCGAGTTCTTGTTGCACATTTGACTCCGGCAGGCCTGTTCAAGTCGTCGATCGATTGCGTTGTCCGCACTGGTCGGCTGCAACATGAGCCGTGGACTCGTGGGGAGTTTGCCAATTTGAAGGTACTGGAAATAGGCATGAGCAGGCTTAGCCAAGCCTGGCGCGTTATTGGCATCCCATGAACAAGCCTCCAAATCTAACGGGAGCCCTCTTGATTGATATAGGGTGGTGAACCCATATTGAGGCGGCGGGTTTATCAATTTTGTGTAGTTTCATCGCGGAACCCCTGGAGAGCTGTTTGATGTTGGCAAGCTTCCTGCTGCAGATGTTCCTGAGTTTGGATTCTCTACCATTGCGTTGCGACCTGTGATATTGCGTAACTTCTGCAATGTCCTGGCACTTGCAGCTGTCATTTGGGCAAATGGAGGCAACCTTACAAAGGGCTTTGCAACGTTATCAGTGATACATATATATATATATATGTATATGGGTCAGTGTCCAGGGTTCCCAGCCCCCCCCCCCCCATGGTATGGTCCCCCCAGCCCCCCCCCCTTGTTGGGGTGGTAATAGATTCCAGGTTGGTAGAATATGAACATTCCTTCAGATGTTACGGGCCTCATTTGTTGCTTCAGGGCCGTCCACGCAGCAACAGCGAGTCCACCGGCCGCAAGGGGTCGAAGGCGTGGGCGATGTGTATTCCTTCTCAGTGCTATTGGGTTGGATTTTTAGACCTTACTAGTCCCCTAGTAGTGCCCTTTTGCCGTTTCTTTTTTTTGGGGGAGGGTTCTTTATTACTAAAATAGACTGCAGAAAAAGGTAGCCTTATTCTAACCTCTCTACTGGAGGACCTAGGTTAACTTTTTGGTTGAAATCAAGGGGTTTCCACTAAACCCACAGGAAGTTAAGCTTTTTGCAGAGGAGTGAGCAGAAACCAAGTTGTCTATAGCACTCGTTGCGACAAATTGCCCGTATTGGAGGGGGTGGCCTCATTTCGGATTTCAGTAGGCCAGTTCCTGAGGAGTATTTGGATATGCCGTGTCGGTGAGAAACTAAATTCACACTGCATGAATGCATTCTTTCGGGCTGATTGATTCACCATGGCCTTTGCTGGACGACTCATTCTACCAAATAGCAAACCGTGCCTTTCGGGCGCTCGTTTGCGTTTTTTTTGTTTGCCTGCTCCCTATCCATTTGCATATTGACGCGCAGCAAAGGGCTCCTTGGTGATTTTCTGATTTCCAACTTCTGAGCAAGGTACGATGCAGGTGCCACGGCACGGCAATGGGAAGAGACTGCATTCTGTTTGTTGGGTCCATGTGGCATCCTCAAAAGAGCCGCCGACCCCCCCAAGTGGGCGACTTTGAGAATCCCTCAACATGTTTGCTTGGGATTTTTTACCCTCTCTCCCACATTGCCAATGACACCTCACGGGTCCCTCCAAGAGGAAACTGACCTTTTAGGTGCTTCTGTGGATGGTTGCGAAATTCATTTCGCATCACTTAAGAAACCCTGGTGTCTGATTCGATTCCCCGGCAGATACCCAACGTTATGGCTTCAACCATAGTTTCATTTGAAAAGCGAACGGATTTCGCTTTTCCATCCACGGTATGGTCGGAAGGGTCAGAAGCCCAGTTCTGATGGTATGGTTTTCCTCCGCTTCCAGGACAACTTGGCCTTGGCCGGGAGCTGAGTAGCTGAGTGAGCAGGATCAGAGAAAGGCAACGTGCAAGCAGAACTTAAGAGCCAACCAACTTAGCTGTTTAACCCATAGGTGTCCTTTTTGGCTGTGTTGTTAGAATAGAAATGGCCCTAGTTGACCTGGTTGTTTCAGAATTTACCAGGGATTAGGACACATGTGTGAATGTTGACCCCGGACTAGCAACCCCCTATTTGTTCATAGGGCTTTAATAGTGGGCTGTCCCTGGTTTTAGTGGGATTATAAGCAGGGGTGTATTAATCCGAGGTCAACATTACGTGTTCAACCTTTTCGCCTTTTTGGTTTCCATCATTGTCCCTTAGCAAGTTCGCGTTTTGCAGGTCTGAGTTTGGCCCAGTTCAGGTTTTACTCCTGGAGTGCCTGGACCATTTTAGAGGCACAATATTGGGGACTGAGTGGCTTTAAAGCATCACCCATTGGTCCTTTCGAAGCGAGTTTCCGTTTGGTTGTGGGACAATTGAGGTTTGGGGCAAAGTTCCGTGGTCGAAGGTCAGCGACCTGCTTGACATGACAGGGATCCCTAAGTTTTGCGTTGGAGTAGTTTCCAGAAGTATCATTTTGTTTCACGTTTGCTCGTTTGGGCGTGATGTTTCAGGGAGGCATTTAGGGATCCTTGCCACAACAAGTCCAAACTTTGTACCGCTAAAATGGTCCAGGCACTCCAGGAGTAAAACCTGAACTGGGCCAAACTCAGACCTGCAAGACGCTAAATTGCTAAGGGACGATGGACAACCAAAAAGGCGAAAAGGTTGAACATGTAATGTTGACCTCGGATTAATACACCCCTGCTTATCAATAGGGGGTGATGAATCCCCACTAAAACCAGGGACAGCCCACTCTTAAAGCCCTATGAAGACTTACCCGTTCAACAGGCGAAAGGTTCAAAAGGGATGCACATCTAGCCGAAGAACAGGTTTTGCTGCAAGCATTGCTTATGTTGAATTTGTAGGACACGTTCCATGGGGTATTCCTCAAGCGGGGTGTCATTTCAGCGTTGTGAGCCACAATGAAAAGCTCAAGCGGGTAGATGAAGGTGAGCAAGGGCTAGTCCCAACATGTCCGAACCACAAAGGGTGTCGCCTTATTATTTACGTGTTTCTGGGTCACCTGGGTAGACCATTGTAATGCCGATCGGTTTGATATAATGACTTGTTTTTTTGGCTGGGGGGGCCTTTCGAGCGTGTGCAACTAGGTGCAACTTGGTGCACCGCACGAAAGTATGCTTTCGAACCACCCTTTTGGGTGGTGGGGAGCCCACAAACCACCGGGCCTAAACGCATTTTGGGGGACTGCTTCAATTCACAACCGGACGGTTGCCACTTTTTGAGAGACAAACTCAAGGGACCCTCAGGTTGTATCAAACTGGTACCTTGCACAACAGGAAGATTAGGTGGCGGTGGCATCGATTTGGGAGCCCATTTGGCCATGGGTCAAAATCCCGGTTATCCCCCTGGGTATTAGTGTCAAATGGGGAGCCCAACATTTTTGGTCCCAGTGGATCCCAGCCGCAAGTTCCGCTTTGGTTTTTTTATCGGGTGGAGCAAGCCCTTGGATACCTCTTGCTCTCCAAAACCTTAAACCCCTTTGTTGATGGGGGGTCTCTGTGTTTAGAGGGTACTCCCAAATTCTGCCGGGCGTCCTTAGCCCAAGTTGGCCTTTCCGCACAACTCAACACCCCCCCCCCTCCCCCCCGCCCCAGCCCCCCCCCCCCAGCCCAGCCCGTGATCCCCAGTCGGCGTCCAAGCTGCTGGCGGATGCCATGCTCAGCTTCTCAGGAGACCTCCGCCAGGCGACGGATGGGAAGTTCGACCGCGGTTCTGTCTCCAAAATTACACGGGACCTTCAAACTAGCCACAGAAAAACAAAAAGTTCACAAGCCTATAGTTCTTGGTGGCTCCCAGCCATCCCCTTAGCCTTTTAGCCTTTTAGTGTTTAGTGGTAGTTTCCATTTAACCCACTAAAAGTTAAACTTTTAGCGGGGCATCTGAGGGCAGCCCAGTTTTGGGTTGCCACAACTTCCATTTTATGAAAGACCATTTCAGGTGCCAGGCCTTACGAAGTGGTCAAAGCCTGGCTAGCGACGGGTCTGAATTCCAGCCGCGCTTTTTGTTCAGCCTTTGGAGCTTTCTGGGTCCGCGTGCGACAGAATGATTCGCGGCGTGCAAGGAGCCATAGTTGCAGCTATTTGACAAACGAATCAACCCGGCCTTACAGTGATATTGTGGATGGACAAAATCCATGTCGTACCACCTAAGAAACCCTGTACCTTCCAACAAACGTTCTGTTTTCCTATGGCTTCAAGGTGGTGCATGAACTTGTCCAGCCACGGTATGGATGCGGGGATGCAGCTTTCGGTTGCTGCACACGGCGCCAAGTTATTTAGACTTTTTGTCAAGTACTCGAACATCAGCAAGTGGGTTGGTCCATTGACCCCAGTTCCCAGGGGTGTGACTTTGATTCTGGGCCAAGAAAAAGCAACGTCACAACACCCTCACCCATGAGTTGGTTCCCATGCGGAGAAGCTCTGCGTCTCGCGGCTCGCCAGGCGGCAACCACCTTGGAACGCAAGAAGAGTCCACAGGCGCCGGGGGTTTGCGAGTGTGCTGCCGTGAATTTGTGTTGTGTCTGTGCTTGATGGTCTTGCGGAAGGGTCTGAGAAGATTTCTGGAAAGGTACGGTCAGTGACAAGTAGAGTCGAACACTGCACAGCCGCTCCACCATGCTCCAATCACAATGTTTTATGCGCCCACAACAGGTTGGTGCTCAGCAATGAGGGAATGAGCCTTAAAAACCATCCAACTGGTGGTTTCCTTTCAGGTTTCAAGGGACCAGGTTCATTCCAATTCTCATGCCCTATCGCACCCATCCAACTGGCGGTTTCCTTTCAGGTGACCCCCCGGTTCCTTCCAATTCTCATTCCTGTACCTATCGCGCGAGCTTTCTAAGGGTTTTTGTATTACCCCCTAATGACCCCACTTAGGCATATTTCCGGGATAAAGTCACGTTTTGGAGACATTTTTTTGGGCCATTTTCCCAGGGTGTAATCCCAGCTAGGTCCCCCAATAGCGCCCTTTTACCCTTTTTTGGGGAGGCTTCCCCTACTAAAATAGACAAAACCGAAAAAAGAAGTCAGGTACCAACTTATTCTATCCTCTCTACTGGATGGCTGGGCTTGCCACCCAGTTGCCACTCTCCCAGTGCTTCCACGGAATCTCTCCGTCAGAGTGAGAGCCTCCTCTCAAATCTGGAGGACCTAGCCAGAGTTCCGGGGTCAAGTCATGTTTCGGAAGCATTCTTTTGGGGCTATTTTCCAAGGGCGTAATCCCAAGGTGTATTCCCAGGCAACCCTAAGCTCGAGGAGAGCTCCAAACCCAAAGCCCGGAGGCGGCATCCAGCGCCAGTGGGCTCAGAGAAATCTCCCCCGGCCGGCCGCGTTTTTGTTTGTTTGTTTGTGTAATACATGTATATATATATAAACAATATATATATATATATATCGTTCTATATATATATATATATATTAAAAACAAGAGGTGTCAACGGTGAAAATGCGATGGTTTTTGGTATCAACGGTGACAACTCGATGTGTTCACCAGGGTCGTGGTGGATCGCCCGGGGTGTTCATCCAACCACCACGCGATGTGTTCAACAGAAGAATTGGTGGGATCACAGGGAGGTTTATCCAACCACTTCTGTGATCTTAAGGAAATCCCCATCGTTAATGTTTTTTTGTTGTCTTTGGGAGGCCCTTTATGTGGTATCACAGCAGTGGATTCCATTTTCCACAGCGCTGTTCAACAATGCGCCCTCGAGTTATTGCATGACAAGCTGAAGGGAATCCCACTGTAGCGCAATAATTCGCATCCCGCGACATGGACAGCCTGGCCTCGATCAATGAAAGATATGTGTTTCTGGAGAGTGAACTTTCCCTTTGCCTCAAAGCAGTGCGAGCATAACGCAGGAGAGCTGTTTTGTCTCAAAAAGGGTCGAGCACACGAAATGTTTATCAATGTTGCTGTCGGGTTTTTCGCCGGGGCGATCTTTTTCTGTAGCGGGTGAGGGGGTTTGGTTTGTGGCTGACGAGGAGTTGTGGGTTACAAGAGCAGGGCTCCTCAAAAGATACATGTTGCAACCATTTGAGTTACATGGTGCTTTTTCAACACCAAAAGAAAGTTGGACACCACAAGTTGCAAGTTGCAATGTTCAGGTGTATAATGTAAGGATCCCTGAAACATGTTGATGAATTCAGGGCATCTTAAGGCAAAAGTGTGTGGTTGGTGCTTTCAGGGCATTCTACTGTAAGCCCCGTAAACTCTAAGCCCCTTAAACCCAAAGCCCCTTAAACTCTAAGCCCCTCCCCCCCAGCCGCCCCTGGCGCGCCTCGTCGCGGGCGCTTTGCCGGGCCTCGAGATGTGTTCAAGCAACCGGTTGCAAGCGGTTCGAACCATGGCCGTTGCCAAATTATTCTACTCAGTCGCTGAGCTGTTAACTTGGGCCCAATCCACTCGGGCAGTGAGTTGAGTGTTTTCCGCTAGGTACCTAAAATGAGCTGTGTTTTTTGCGGGGGATCATTGGTTTCCGCTACCTAACATGTCCTGCCTGGAACTGGGCTGGGCTGGATGTGTTTGTCTCAGAAGAAGATTTGTGAGCCTCCTTTGAACATGAGAATCGTTCATTTGCACTCCTTTAGTTCCCATATAACGAAAAAGTTACACTTACCAAAAAGACAAATCTATCGTCGCTGTTCTTGGCATGTTTTTTTTGGTTCTGTTCATTTTTACTGGGGGTCAAATCCATGTGGCTGTGGCTCAAAATTAAGCAGGATGGGCAAACCGCAGGTTTTGGCAATCATGTTTCCACTTAGCAGGGTTCCATTTTGGAATTCCGGTTTTCTGAGCCACGGCCATGTGTATGGCGGGTCCAGTTGCATGTTGCATTCTCAAAGGAGGCATCCATGCCGATAGACCAGCGACTGGCTACGGATGGGATTGGCTAGATGACTAGGCCGGAACAGATGCTGACCTGCCAACCAAAAACCAGAGTAGTTCTTGCTGTGTGTTCATTTCTGTTTTGGTCTGGGGATTGGGGATGTGGCACGCCAACTATACGTGTGTTCCATGTGTTTCCTTGGCTTGGCTCTTCCAAGCTTTGAACTGCACCAGATGGCCCTCAGGCCGGCGAACACGGCGAAGCTGCGGCGCCAGTCTAAGAAGCGCAGAGGTCACCTGGGTTCCCGAGGTTTGGTCCTATGAAATTCCTCGCCCCTCGCCCTTTTTCAGGCGAGCCCTGCTCACCTGAAAACGGGGGGGGGGGGTGAGGGGGGGAAAAACAGGAGAGAACCCTTTTTAGCTTCTCTGCTGCCACAAGCACCATAAGCATAGCCAGAGTCGGCTCGATGTGTCAAGTCAATTCCCCCATGGCTTAGCATGCTTCGGCTTGACTGAGAGCACTACTTTGGGGGGATGTCTTTGTTCAGTTGGCCAAAGAGGGTCACGTTTATGGACTCACTTAAGAGTGTCGGAAGTCACTGGGCCCCAAGAAACAAAAAAACAGGATTGTTGTCTCAAGAGGACCTAGGGTTATCATTTGGGCTTCAAATATTTCTATTTCCACCCGCTGGAATGTGTGTTGGGGGAAGTTGTGACTTGGGAATTTGGTTGGGAGTTTGTTTTGTTTTGGAAATTGTGACTTGGGATATTTGTTCAACAGTGTTGTGGTCTTGAAGCCATGTTACTTTTTGTGCTGCTGTGTTGGGTTTCCTTATGCCAAATCTGATGAGGTCAGTGTGGGCAGTTCAGGAGTACTGGCAAACTGTTCAGAGACGCGGTCGGGATTCGAATACCCTCCTTCAAAAGTAGGGAGCCCTTTTCGAAAGCAAGCAAGTATTTGTTCACGTCCATATCTTTCGTGCATTTGTTTAGAAATGAAAGAACTTCAGAATTGGTATTTTTTTTGCCCAAAAAGGAACTCTTTCAAGACACATGGCCATGGGTCAAGATCCAAATCGTACCCCCAGTGAACATCCCAATCCAGCCACTAAAATAGGTTCTAAAATGGGTGGTGAATTCACCTACCAGCCAAAAATGGGATCCCAAAACGGTTTTGACCACCACAGCCACCTAAGAACCCCTGGTTTCTGATGATTCCCTGTAAATGCCAACAAATACAGGTTTCCCACGGTGACAAAGTGGTGCGAATTGGATTGAGTCCATCAGTATCCAAAATGGGCTGTCGCTGTTTGGGTCTTAGGGGCGCTTGACCCAGCGCAATGTGCCGAGGTGGAGACGGACAAGCCAGAGGCAAGAGCCGGAGCCTAAGGACAACTCGCCCAGTGCTTCCAAACCGCCTTGCTAGGTATCCGGGAAACACTTTTCGGCTTTATGATGGTTCACCCTAGCTGGAAGCACTGGGAGGCGTCCATTGCCTGAAATGAATATATGTTAGTGGCTTTCTCCTCTTGGTTTTAAAGGGAATCGATTTCACTACAAGAATGTTGTTGTGTTTTTCCAGGGCGCGAAAACGCAAATGCCGAAGTCGTTGATTGCCCTTTGTTCTCTTTGCGCGCTCTTCGACTCCTGATATGGGCTGCGAGTGTTGCAATTTGAGAGCCGCCCAACAAATCGGGTTGCGTTTTGCGGACGATTTAGCGGGTTCTGCCACTTGGTTTAATCTGGATTGCAGCAAGGCCAACACAAACACCTTGAGCATTTTTGAACCGACAGTCCACGAGTCTGGGCGGATCTGCTTTCATTGCAATTCCGAGGTGGAAGCGGAGCCGGCCGGTGCAGCAGACTCCCATGGCATGGTTGATGCTGCGGCTGACGTTGCGTCGGTATCAGCTAGATCCTCAGAACAGGACAGGACAAGTTTGAAGGGGAAACAATGCCCAGTAGATCCCACTTACCACTCTAGCATGGTTGTTGTTGGGAAACATTTTACATTTTGGCTTATTGTGGTTTAGTGGGAAATCCCCACTTAACTGCTAAAATTTAATTTTTTGCTCCCCTAACCCAACGTCAACCAAGCTAGAAGGTAAGCAGCCGTTTTCCTTTTGGTCTTTGAAGGCTGGTTCCCTTGGTTCCCTGCTATAAAAGGATCCCCTCAAGAAGTGTTATGCCCACAGTCGACGCCCCAAAAGTCTTGCTGGTTCTCGGGAATGAGAAATGCGAATTGACCCCGCACTCAACCATCACATATGCTTGCCTTTAGTCGTGAATCCCCAAAATCGGTTCATTCAACCAACACCCGGACTCGTTAAATCATTCCCTACCTATCTTGCTGGTGCGAAAAGTAGGTGGAATGTGGTTGAATGAACCGTTTCGGGATTCCCTTAATTAAAGCAAACCACCAGTTGGATGGTCTATAAGGGTCACGAGCCATTTGGCCATGGGTCAAAATCCCGTACCAACCACTAAAATAGGTTCTAAAATGGGTGGTGAATTCACCTACCCCCAGATGGTACCAGTTTTGACCCACAGCCCATGGTCATTCCATTTTGTGGTTGAGTTTGCTCTATCTCGGGATTGTTTTAAAGCAAAATCCGCCAGTTGGATGGTGAGGTTCCATTTCTCGGGGACCCTGGCTATCGCACGATCGCCTCCCGGCCGAGTTGCCACATGCTTCTGCCTCGCCGATGCCGCCCGTCCGGGTCCTCGGGGCCGATCTCTGACGCGTTGAACCCATGGATGCGTTGCTCTTTAAAGGTTGGACCCTAGCGTTGATCTTTTTCTTTAGCGGGGGGTTTGGTTTTGGTTTGTGGCTGACGAGGAGTTGTGGGTTAATTACAAGAGCAGGGCTCCTTAAAAGATACATGTTGCAACCGTTTGAGTTACATGGTGCTTTTTCAACACCAAAAGAAAGTTGGAAACCACCATTTACAAGTTGCAATGTTCAGGTGTATAATGTAAGGATCCCTGTTAAAGGTTGGACCACCCTAGATGGGTGTTGTCCGTCCCCAAATGGGCGTCCTCCTTTTGGTGTCCCTTTGGAACCGACCAAAAGGGTTTACCAAAAGAGGCGCACCCAAGTCTCTTTTCAGTGGGAGAGGTGTCCCCAAAAATCCCAGCTAGAAAGTGCAAACAACAACAACAGGAAGCTGAAATCTGCGCAAACGTTATCTACCTGGCACCAGATGCGTTCCCAATGGTGGACCCCCCAACAAACCAGAAGCCTCGAAAAGGACCCTATTATTCCCAATGGGCCCCCCAACAAACCAGAAGCCTCAAAAACTTGACCTAGGAGACCTCATTCGTATTCGGCCGTGGCAGTATTGGCAGAGGGAGCTTTCGGGGGACAACTTGACGGGCCTGAGGAAGTGTCGCCGGACGCAGCCGCCTCCTCTCATGCTGAGAGAACCTCTAAACAACCATTTGCTCAAGAATATATACATATATAGATATCAAAAAAAACTGCTTTGCTGGTTTTAAAGGAAGTCTATCACTACTGGAAATAGTTTTAATATTTCCAGGTGGCGAAAACACAAATGGGAGTAACGCATTGGCCAGTTGCTCATGCGGCTGGCTCAGCTACTTGAGAGTGTGGACCTTCCATGGAACAAAGCGCCCGATCATGCTTGTACAACCCATGCCTGACCCACTAGTGCTAGCCCACCAATTTTGGGTTACTTATACCCCCCTTTGAGCAGGTGGGTCGGCTCTGCTGGGTCAGCTCTAGTTCCCCTGAAATATGGCTGATGCGTAGTGGATGGTTGCGAAATCCAATTCGCATCAAGTTGAAACCATGGTTGAAACCGTAACGTTTGTTGGTACAGGGGAATCGAATCATTTTAGGGCTTCTGAACGCTGGTGCAGGATTTCGTCCATCCACAGTATGTGGCTTCTGAACGCTGGTGCAGGATTTCGTCCATCCACAGTATGTGCTTATAGTAATACGGCTGTGTGTGTGTGTGTTGAAACTCGGCCACCAAACCATTCGGGTTGTGTCAATGGGCACCCCAGAGCTGTTGGTTCCGTGTTTGTTTCCCTTTTGACCTGAGTCCAAATCAAAACCGGATTAAATTATCTATATACCCAGGAGTATGTGTAAATCGAAATCAACAGGCGGCTGCACCAAGTACTAGCTAGCCTTCACTTACCAGGTTTTGATTGTGACTCACCTGAAAAGAGCTAAAGTTCCCCCTCCAAAAGTTGATCAAACTGGTTTCCGTTGAAAGCATCGGTCCATTGGAGCTTCCCTTTAAAGGGAGATGGCTCGGAACTGAGTCATCCACATCCCGGCGCAAAATGATCGGTCTTCATGGTTGTTGTTGGGAAGCATTTTACATGTTTGATCTTATTGTGGTTTAGTGGAGTTGAGATCCAACCACTTAACTGCTAAATTTTGAGAATTGTTGCTCCCCAAACCCAACGTCAACCAAGTCTTGGTCTTTTTGGAAGGACTCCTTTTGTAGCTTTGGCTGGGTTGGCGTGACCCCGGGGATTTGATTTTGGCAGGTGCGGTTGCCCCGGCAAAGATCCCAAGGCATGAGAACCAACTCAAAAGCTTGGGTCCCTCTCCAGCAAACCGGGGTCCGTATATATATATATATATACACATCATGTTTGTTTTATTTCTTTAGTTATTTATTTATTTATTTATTTATTTATTTAATACAACATAATAAATATATATATATATATATGTCGATATAAATACATATACATACATGCATACATATATATATATATGTATTGATACATGTATAATATACATATATACATATGTATACTATACATATATATATATATATGTATATGTATATATATATATAATGTCGCTGTGTCCTTTCTTCAGCGACCCGTTTTTTGGTTGTTTTAGAGGTACGACCCTGGCATTTGATGACTCCGCTGTAAATACCAACAAACATGGTTTCAAAGTGGTGCAAAGTGGATTTCGTCCATCCTCAGCATGTTCCTATATGGGTGTGCGTCCTTTGGTCAGGGTACCTTTTTGTTTTGTTTGTTTCGGTGGTTTAAAAGAAAAGCCAAAGAGGAAAGCACCACTTTGGGGGTCCAACCTCAACAAAAGACACCATGGCTGTCTCCTTTGCTTTCAAAGTACTCGGTTGGTTGAGAGGGACGCCATCACGAAGCAACCGGTTTTGGAGGGTTCTTTTATTTGAAGAACCCAACTTTGGCAGTGACCTTTCAGAGTAGCGACGCCAACAAAATGGGTGGTGGACATGAATCCACGAATTCTGAAGTCGACCAAACCGTCCCCAATTAGAAACCCTAGAAATATTAGGCTCCAACTTGTGCAGGGTTTTTGTCCATTGCCATCGACAGTATTTTCTCCGTTTCGCGCCTTTGAATGTGAGTTTCCTGTGGGTGGGGGGATGTTTCAAGGGGACTATAGTCAACCCTGAGCCTCACGACAAGGACCACACCAGAATGGTGGACAATTGGTGCTGTTTTCCAAGTGGGAGCGACGTTCTACGCAGGTCGAGGGTCTTTGGACTGACAAACATGAAACTGCACGGATCCCTGTGGAAGGCAACCGTCTTTTTATAAGGGGTTCCTGTTCACTTTCAGGTTTGTGGGTGGGGGTTAGATGAAAAACAATGAGAGCAGCAAGAGTGTCCGTTATCTGCCTTACTCAGCTTTCCCTTTGGTTTTTCTTCATTTCGCCTTCCGAGCAGCACATTTACCTTTTTAGCAGGTGGTCGCTCTGCAACTCTTGATTCGAGAACCCGGAACAGAGCCACGTTGCTTTTCTGCCGGTACAGTCACCGTCTTTTGTGAGGCTTTGCTTGCGAAAGCCGTACGTAGAATGGGGTGGGTTCCCAATTTTGAGATAAGCCCACGTGTTTTTTCTTTTTACTCACACTGATGAGATGGAAACAATCATGATGCTGGCAATTGAGGAAGCAGCAGCGCGAGAGTCGAACACAGCTGGGTGCTTAGACTCGCCCTTGCGAACAGGCCGAAGAGGTCAGTAAACTTGACCTGCGCACACGTGATTCCATTTCCCTGTAGGCAACCAATGGACCCAACCTCCAAACACTAACAGGAACATGCATGGTTACGATGAGGAAAGATGAGTATGATCATTTGACTTTGCTGGTTCTCAGCAGGGAATGAGGCAATGACCCCTATAATTTCACAACCGCCCCCCCTTTTTTTCTTCAAGGCAACCCTAGGTTCATTCCCCGGAAGGTCATTCCCCACCTATCGCACATTCCCAGCGCTGTCTGAGCTGCCCGAAGTGGCAGCCACAGGGCCTGAGCCACTTGAATCGACACGAAACAGGAGTGCTTTGCTCAGTTGTTCAGTGGCACCAATTATTTCCCCATTTTTTTTGGTGGCTGCCAAAAACTAAAAATAGTCTTCCCAAAAAATGTTTCTTTTTTTCCAGGGTCACTGAACAACTGAGATTGTGGCGTGTGCATCCCCAGGCCTTGTTGAATGTGTTGAAGGTGTCACTAGATGCGGCTGCGATACACGTGGTTTGTCCTGGTTTCGCACTGTGAGGTTCGCATAGGTTGCTAAAAGTACCTTTTCATCGTCAAGATGATCAACACTTTGATATTGCTTTCCGTCTTAGGCCCCCCGTTGTGCAACCCATGCATATTTGTACTTCTGCCAGCAGGATTGGCTGCGCATTAAAATTGGGCAATCACCCAAAATGGAACGCTGGTAAATGGGCCAAGGATCAGAACCTGCGGTGGTGGTTTCATTTCGACCTTTAGCGGCTGCATTTGGGTGAGGCTGAATTGCAGCCACCGCTGGCAGCAGAGACAGCTGCAGCTGACGCTGCGAGACTTGCATCTGAGGCGGCAGCCGGCTACTTAGTGAACTGCAATTGATGGTTTGTGTCTGTCTTTTTTTGGGGGGAGCCCCTTTTTGGTTGGTGTCAATGGAAATGAAGAAGAAGAATACCACCATTTTGGGGAGGCCCCTAAAAGGATACACCCATTTGGTGCGTGTGCGTTGCCTGCTTCTGAATTCTTGGACGGCCAGTGTCTTAGGTGATTTCTGGCGTGAGGAGCTTTTCGCTGAACTGGCAGATGTCGTCGTTTCATTCAAGCGATTTTGTCCTCTCGTCCGATCTTTCCAAACACAAACAGATTTGTATTCCAAAACATGTATATATGCAAAAACAACCAGATGTCCACATGTATTTCCAAAAAAGATGCGGAACCCCTTTCTCGCGGTTGTTTATTGAGAGACTCAGAACGGCAGATTGGGCGAGGATCAACAGGCACCGATGTTTGGCTATCTCAGAACCTCAGGAAGAAGCGAACCGCGAAAAATGGGATGGGCTTCAAGCAAGTTTCAAAGAGAGATTCAGAACGGCATCTTCGAAGGATTCAGGCCCCCAGGCCTGCAAGAGTTTTTCATGGTTGCCGTTGGGAAACATTTTACATTTTTGCTTATTGTGGTTTAGTGGGAAATCCCCACTTAACTGCTAGAATTTAATTTGTTGCTCCCCTTCCAACGTCAACCAAGTTTTGGTTGACCCGGACGTGACACCCAGTTGCACCGCCCAAATTACTCGCTGTTCGTTCCGCCCGAGGCCTTTGCGCCGAAGCCGAAACCGGTTGGGGCCTGAGCTGGTTGCCCTCACTCCCCGAGTGCCGCTTTGGACTTGAGTGAAAGGGCACCTCGAGGAACGGCGTGAATTTCCTGTAAGTTAACATGGAACCCACCAGAGAAATGGCCCATAGGAGCATGGTCTTCAGGGACTTCAGTCATGATCCATGTTAGACAGGACCCCGCTTCAGCACCCGTTGGTTTCCGTTCGTTTGGTATGTGCCCCTCCAAGAAGGGTCACCCGCAAAGGGGCGCGCCTTTGTCTACTATAGGGTCACTGAGCAGCTGGGTTGCATGGACGCTCATGTTGTGAGCCACAGATGTACGACGCCTTTAGCATGTTGAAGCCGCCACGGGTGCGCAGCTTGTTCCAGCATGGCAAGTGCTATGACTGACATGCCAGGGATGCCAGTTCCATTTCGCATATTTCATACTTCGTCGTGCCACGCTTCGTTATGGTCGATTCAATGCAGTTTACTCCGCTGAAAGGCTGACGTGATCACCGGAGAATAGTTTGGCGGCTGAGGTGGAATCGCAGCGAGCGCCGGCGGAGACAACTGCGGCCGTGGCCGGTGCTGCAGCTGAGGCAGAGGCATCAGCCAGGTGCTCAGTGAGTTTGCGCTGGGATAGCCAAGGACGTGGGTCTTGCAAATCTCGCAGGTTGAAGGCGGACCCTTTTGTGGGACGCACATTCCAAGGCTCAGTACTTTGGGCATGCTTTTTTTTTTTTACCCTCCGGGTTTGCGCAATAAAAGGTGAGAAGTGAACACATAGGGCTTAAAGGACTTGTACTAGCGCCTGATCTGCGATTTGCTGAGTTACCACTGCCCGATGTGGCTGCCCCAGCCACGCCGCAGCTGGTGGTCAGGGCCTGAGCGGTTGCAATGAGCAACAATGATACTTGCTTGGGGAAAGTCCTGTGTATAGTATTGAGCGTTGAAGCTTGGAATCCCATTTTAGTTTACGAAATAATTATGAATATTGTACATTAGTTGGCTTTGTTGAGTGTTGTAACGGCTGCTTGCGCAGGGTGGTTTGTCTTGAATGCGCATGGCCAGTTTGCAGCCAAATGCTGCCACCCAAATGTCAGCGCTCATCCAGAATGACTCATGCAATGTTTCTTTCCCCACCCGTCAGATGGGGTTGATCGATTTTTCGAAAGCCCGCCTGCAAGCCAGAAGCTTCCGGAATGATGCAGATGATAGATGCCAGAGGCAGTCAGATACAGATGCACAGACGGCCAGTCAAAGCCAGTCAATACAAATGACAGATCTTTGGTGCATTTTGCCCAGGGATGTTAGGACTGAATCACCTTTTGCCAACTATTGCGGTTTTCCGTATTAAACCACAAGTTTAGTCACTTTTAGCGGGGCTTCGCAGATTTCGCCACCGCGCCGTGAAGGTCAGCTGTGCGCGGCATCTTTCAACGGATCGGGAAAGCCTAGGTCCCCCGGCTAGGTGCTCTACCGTTTTTTTCTTTTTTGGGGGGAGGGTTCGGGACCCTAAAATAGACAGAAAAACATCGGGTGCCTGGAGTCTCCTTCTGACCCTTTAAAAATGGTTGGTCATTACCCTAATGGAATCAGGACCAACCATTTTTCAAGGGTCAGAAGGAGACTCCAGGTACCCGATTTTTTCTAACCTCTACTGGAGGACCTACTTAAAGGGGCGATCGGGTACTTAGTAAGTGGTTAGTAACTAGGGTTATAACCCACTGAACGGAGACTTGTTTGACCATGGCTTTCGTGGGTTATAGCCACGGTTACTAACCACTTGCTAAGTACCCGATCGCCCCTTGAAGAAGTCACTGCGGAAATCTTCGGGGTCGTTGGAGCCAAAGGACTCCGAGACACCAAGGTCGGGGATCGGGAGCCGAATTTTGTTTGGCGGATGGCAGAGCTTGGCAGACCGGGTTTTTTGGGGTAATGCGGTTTCCAAGCTCTGACAACTTGGAACCAACCCGGAAAGGCTGGGCAGAAAAACTCGGCAGAACTGGACTGAGTCGTAAAAGACCGGAGCAACTCGGAAAATCTTGGCGGAACAACTCGGCAAGACTGGGCGGAACAACTCGGAACAACTGCCCGCAAAGAAATAAAAAAAGGCCGGAGTCGGAACAACTTGCCAGAAAAAAGCGGGATCCGACAACACGCAGATTCGTGAGAACGCGGCGTCGGCAAATCTGAGCGGGAATGGTTCGAAGTGGGCAATTTCCTGACACGCGTTGTCACGTGCAAGCTGGCTACTAAGGGGCTAATTGCTTGGGTGCTGTAGATCCCCAGCGAAAAGTTTAACTTTTTGCTGGTCTAAAGGAAATATGAGGGTAATCCAAAAAGTTAAAGTCTACAGATCCAACCCAATAGCAGTAGAGATTGGAGCTGAGTCACAGGGAAGTTTCCTTGCTGCACTTGCATGAGATTGAGGCGAAGGCCCAGCCAGCAGAGATGACTGCGGTTGTTGCTGCTGCCGGTACAGCTGATGCTGCGGAGGTTGCTTCTGAGGCATCAGCTGCGTGCTCAGTGAGTTTATGATTGTTTTTCAGATTGCGAATGACGCGGGTCCTGTGAGTCTTGCAGATGGCGAGGGAGGCTGACACCTTGTCTCCTTCAGACAGGCTTGAGTTCTTGCAACTTGCGCCGGTGGATTTGCTGGTTGGCGAGCCAGCGATTGATCTGTGAGCTGAGTTGCCGCTCCCCGATGTGGCTGCCCAAGCCACGCCGCAGACAGTTGTCAGCGCCTGAGCAGTTGCAACTCAGTTTGCAGTCGAATGCTGCCATCCTACAACGCAAACGCTTACTCGTGATTTGTTCTGCCAACTCTTTGTCACCCTCAAGCTGGCCTGTTTGGTAAACACCGTTGAGAAGCTGATTTGTGCTGACTCGCAGATCAGCGAAGCGCATGTGCCGCATTCGCATGAGGTTGAAACGCAGGCACAGCCAGCAGCAGAGACGACTGTGACCGTTGCAGCTGCATCGGCAGACGCTGCGGAGGTTTCTTCCGAGGTATCAGCCAGGTGCTGAGTTGGCTGGCACAGGAGCTTCTGCGACTGCTTGATGGCCAATGGAGGTTTTTGTAGATCGTGCAGGTTCGTGGAGTCAAAAGTGACAAGTGAAATGATGGTTGCATTTATTTTTTGATGCTGATGTTGGTTGTAGTTAGGGCTTGAAAGACTCGTAGGCGAGCTAGCACCTGATCTGTGGTTTGCTGAGTTACCGCTGCCCGATGTGACTGCTCCAGCCAAGCCACAGCCTGTGGTCACGGCCTGAGCGCTTGCAAATGACAATAATATTGCAGAACGGCGTATGCATGGAATTGACCATTGAAGCTCCGAATCCCGTCCAAGCTCGTTTACGCCACAATCATGCACATCGCTTTACTTTGTGGATTGTTGCAGCTGTTGCTTCCACAGTGTGGTAAGGATTGCTTTGGCACTTCGAATTTTGCGCTTGAAAGCTAGCAGCCTGCTTAGTCATGGCTTTTCTTGCTCGTTGTCACCCTTAAGCTGGCCTGTTTGTCAAACATCGTTGAGAGGCTGATTTGTGCAGACCCGCAGATCAGGGAAGCGAATGTGCTGGAATGGCATGAGGTTGAAGCGCAGCCACAGCCGGCAGCCGAGCCGACTGCGGCAGTTGCAGCTGCTGCAGATGCAGCTGACACGGAGGTTGCTTCTGAGGCATCGGCCAGGTTCTGAGTTGGCTGGCACAGGTGCCTTTTGCGAATGCTTGTGTATTGATAGCTCATGTGAATGTTCATAGGGTTTGCGCAGCAAGACTGCCAAGTTTTGTTGCATGTGCTTCTTGATGCTGAGCACGGGACAAGTGATCTGTGATTTGCTGAGTTGCCGCTGCCCGATGTAGCTGCCCCAGCCAAAGCACAGTCTGTGGTCACGGCCTGAGCGGTTGCAATTGACGATATGGACACTTACCATGGCCAAGCATTGCATATCACATTGAATATTGAAGGATATGAAGGTCTGCATCCTATGCAAGCCGCTTGACAACAAGATCATGTACATCCCAGGCATGTCCTTCATGTTGTACACAACGTGGTGGGATTGTTTTGGCATTGCTGGCACGCTCACCCTAAGCTTGTCTTAACACACCGCTCAGGGGCTGACTTGAGCTGACTCGGACCACGTCAGTGTTTGTGCTGCTGCATTTGCATGAGGTTGAAACGCAGGCACAGCCGGCAGCAGAGACGACTGCGGAAGTTGCAGCTGTTGCCGATGCAGCTGACGCTGCGGAGGTTTCTTCTGAGGCATCAGCCAGGTGCTGAGTTGGCTGGCACAGCAGCTTCTGCGACTGCTTGATGGCAAGTGTAGGTGTTTGTAGATCTTGCAGGTTTGCGCATGTTTGCGCAGTAAAAGGCGACAAGTGAAATCATTGCTGCATTATTGTTCGACGCTTGTTTTTGGTCAGGGCTTAAAGGACTTGTAGGCGAGCTGGCACCTGATCTCTGATTTGCTGAGTTACCGCTGCCCGATTTGGCTGCCCCGGCCAAGCCACGGCTTGTGGTCATGGCCTGAGCGGTTGCAATCGACAATAAGGACTCTTACTGTGGCCAACCATCTCATATCACATTGAATATTGAAGGATATCCCATGCAAGCTGCCTGACAACAAGATCATGTACATGCCAGACATCATGCCGTCCTTCATGTTGTACTCGGCGTGGTGGGCTTGTTTTAGAACTGGCACGCTCACCCTGAGCTTGACTGCGTTAAACACCGCCAAGGGGCTGACTTGAGCTGACTCTCAGACCAGGTCAGAGCTGACTCAGACCAGTGTAGTGTTTGTGCTGATTTGCATGAGGTTGAAGCGCAGGCACAGCCGGCAGCAGAGAGGACTGCGGAAGTTGCAGCTGCTGCCGATGCAGCTGCGGAGGTTTCTTCTGAGGCAGCAGCCAGGTGCTGAGTTGGGTGGGACAGGAGCTTCTGGGACTGCTTGATGGCAAGTGTAAGTGTTTGTAGATCTTGCAGGTTTGCGCATGTTTGCGCAGTCAAAGGCGACAAGTGAAATCATTGCTGCATTATTGTTCGACGCTGATGTTGGTTGTGGTTAGGGCTTAAAGGACTTGTAGGCGAGCTGGCGCCTGATCTCTGATTTGCTGAGTTACCGCTGCCCGATTTGGCTGCCCCAGCCAAGCCACAGCCTGTGGTCACGGCCTGAGCGGTTGCAATTGACGATAAGGACACTTACTGTGGCCAACCATTTTATATCACATTGAATATTGAAGAACATGAAGGTCTGAATCCTATGCAAGCTGCTTGACAACAAGATCATGTACATGCCAGACATCATGCCCTTCATGTTGTACACGGCGTGGTGGGATTGTTTTAGCATTGCGACTCGGCTGCTGGCACGCTCACCCTAAGCTTGGCTGCGTCAGACTCCGCTAAGGGGCTGACTTGAGCTGACTCTCGGACCAGGTGAGTGTTTGTGCTGCTGCATTTGCATGAGGTTGAAGCGCATCCACAGCCGGCAGCGGAGACAACTGCGGCAATTGCAGATGCAGCTGATGCTGCGGAGGTTGCTGCTGAGGTATCAGCCAGGTGCTGAGATGGCTGGCACAGGAGCTTCCGCGACTGCTTGATGGCAAATGTAGGTGTTTTCAGATCGTGCGGGTTCGCGCAGTAAAAGGTGACAAGAGAAATCATGGAAGTTGCATTCGTTGTTTGATGCTGATGTTGGTTGTAGTTTAGGGCTGCAAGGACTTGTAGGCGAGCTAGCGCCTGATCCGTGATTTGCTGAGTTACCGCTGCCCGATTTGGCTGCCCCAGCCAAAGCACAGCCTGTGGTCACGGCCTGAGCGGTTGCAATTGACAATAAGGACACGTACTGTGGCCAACCATTTCATATCACATTGATTATTGAAGGATATGAAGGTCTGAATCCCATGCAAGCTGCCTGACAACAAGATCATGTACATGCCAGACATCATGCCGTCCTTCATGTTGTACTCGGCGTGGTGGGCTTGTTTTAGAACTGGCACGCTCACCCTGAGCTTGACTGCGTTAAACACCGCCAAGGGGCTGACTTGAGCTGACTCTCAGACCAGGTCAGAGCTGACTCGGACCAGTGTAGTGTTTGTGCTGATTTGCATGAGGTTGAAGCGCATGCACAGCCGGCAGCAGAGAGGACTGCGGAAGTTGCAGCTGCTGCCGATGCAGCTGCGGAGGTTTCTTCTGAGGCAGCAGCCAGGTGCTGAGTTGGGTGGGACAGGAGCTTCTGCGACTGCTTGATGGCAAGTGTAGGTGTTTGTAGATCTTGCAGGTTTGCGCATGTTTGCGCAGTCAAAGGCGACAAGTGAAATCATTGCTGCATTATTGTTCGACGCTGATGTTGCTTGTGGTTAGGGCTTAAAGGACTTGTAGGCGAGCTGGCGCCTGATCTCTGATTTGCTGAGTTACCGCTGCCCGATTTGGCTGCCCCAGCCAAGCCACAGCCTGTGGCCAATAAGGACACTTACTGTGGCCAACCATTTCATATCACATTGAATATTGAAGAATATGAAGGTCTGAATCCTATGCAAGCTGCTTGACAACAAGATCATGTACATGCCAGACATCATGCCCTTCATGTTGTACACGGCGTGGTGGGATTGTTTTAGCATTGCGACTCGGCTGCTGGCACGCTCACCCTAAGCTTGGCTGCGTCAGACTCCGCTAAGGGGCTGACTTGAGCTGACTCTCAGACCAGGTCAGTGTTTGTGCTGCTGCATTTGCATGAGGTTGAAGCGCATCCACAGCCGGCAGCGGAGACAACTGCGGCAATTGCAGATGCAGCTGATGCTGCGGAGGTTGCTGCTGCGGTATCAGCCAGGTGCTGAGATGGCTGGCACAGGAGCTTCCGCGACTGCTTGATGGCAAATGTAGGGGTTTGCAGATCGTGCGGGTTCGCGCAGTAAAAGGTGACAAGAGAAATCATGGAAGTTGCATTCGTTGTTTGATGCTGATGTTGGTTGTAGTTTAGGGCTGCAAGGACTTGTAGGCGAGCTAGCGCCTGATCCGTGATTTGCTGAGTTACCGCTGCCCGATTTGGCTGCCCCAGCCAAAGCACAGCCTGTGGTCACGGCCTGAGCGGTTGCAATTGACGATAAGGACACTTACCATGGCCAAGCATTTCATATCACATTAATTATTGAAGGATATGAAGGTCTGAATCCCATGCAAGCTGCCTGACAACAAGATCATGTACATGCCAGACATCATGCCCTTCATGTTGTACTCGGCGTGGTGGGCTTGTTTTAGAACTGGCACGCTTACCCTGAGCTTGACTGCGTTAAACATCGCTAAGGGGCTGACTTGAGCTGACTCAGACCAGGTCAGTGTTTGTGCTGCTGCATTTGCATGAGGTTGAAGCGCAGGCACAGCCGGCAGCAGAGACGACTGTGGCCGTTGCAGCTGCTGCAGATGCAGCTGACGCTGCGGAGGTTGCTTCTGAGGCATCAGCCAGGTGCTGAGTTGGCTGGCTCAGGTGCCTTTTGCGAATGTGTATGATGATAGCTAATGTGAATATGCTTAGGTTTGCGCAGTAAGGCTGCCAAGCCTGAGTCATTTTGTTGCATGTGCTTCTTGATGCTGAGCACGGGACAAGTGATCCAAGTGATTTGCTGAGTTACCGCTGCCCGATGTGGCTGCCGCAGCCAAGGCACAGCCTGTGGTCACGGCCTGAGCGGTTGCAATTGACAGTAAGGACACTTGGATGTCCTGGCACTGTTTGTTAAACACCTCTAAGAGGCTGATTTGAGTTGCTTCGCAGATTTGATGCAAATGAATGTGCAGCAATTGAGGTTGAAGCGCTGCCACAGCCGGCAGCACAGGCATCTGCGAGCGTTGTAGCCGGTGCCGCAGCTGCATCCGACGCGGACGTTGCTTCTGAGTCAGCAGCCAGGTGCTTAGTTGGCTAGCACAGGAGCTTCTGCCTGTTTAGATCTGGTAGGTTTGCGCGATGAACGGTGACAAGCGAAATTACTAGGTTTTCTCAGTAGTGCCCTTCTACCGTTGCTTTGTTGGGCGAGGGTTCCCCTACTAAAATAGACTACAGAAAGAAAAAAAGGCTACCAACTTATTCTAACCCCTCCACTCGAGGACCTTTTGTGTTTTTTGTTTTTGTTTTATTTTGTGTGTGCTTTTTCTTATTTTCTTATTTTCTTGTTTTGGTGGTGGTTTTGGCGGTTTTAACAGATTATTATTATTTCCTTTGGTGGTTTCGGTTAGGCTTAGAGGACCACCGCGCAAGTCTCGGCGGTGCCCGGCGAGCTGCCTCGATTTGCCGAGTTGCCGCCCGAAGCGGCCACGCCGCAGCACTTGGCACGGGGCTCAGCGGCTTCACTTGGCACTTCGCTGGGGAAGCCTTTGAGTGCAGCAAATATCAGCCTGGGTGTGCAATCCACCACGAAAGTATTAGCGGGGGTTCAGCTTGGACTGCCCAAGAAACCTAAGCCGCCTCTGTAGAGGTCCCGAAATTGTCCGGTCAAACCGTCATGCAAACCATGGTTGGGTTCATATAACCACCTTTTGTTTGCCTAAGGTTAAGGATTGTCATCATCCAAATTGGGTCAGCCACTTTTTAGTGGGGCCTGAACCCCAGGCTTATATTATCATTGAGCTGCCTGTCGCGCTTGAACCTGGTGTTTCCAAAACCCCTGGTGCCTGTTTCATCTGAATAGGAAATGTTGAAAGTGGTCTTGGGGGATTTTGAGTTTTCGTGTTTCACGCTTGTTTTTTGCGCGAGGTGTCCCCAAGGATGAGAGAGGAATGGTTACAGGACCAACCGTTGGACGTAGCCAGAAACTAAACTGCCACGGGTAATTGAGGGCTAGCCTTGCCTATACGCCCTTGGGTGCCAACATCGCCTTCCTGGCCATTTTTGGTAGGGTGGTGATTGAAGGGTGCACGGAACGATTGGGGGCAATGGCAGCGGTAGATTGTGGCAAGATTGTTGGATTCTTTCCCATGCCTAGTGCTTCCAGTTACCATAGGTAACCAGGAGAAACCACTTCTGTTAAACCGCCCCACAGGTAAGCAAGCTTGGTTGCCTGTGCCTGGAATTGGTTGCGAGTTCTCGGAATCGTGCCTATAGGACAAGGTTTTCAGAGCTTGCGGGCCTATAGGACTCACAGAGCATTGCCATCGCGGGTGATTTGCATTTCATGTTGACGGGGGGAAACAAAAAACTCCTACTAGTATCAGTTTGTTTTATCCACCAGTGCTCATGGGGTTGAATTTCTTCCCCAGGTGCAGATGTTTTGTTTCCATCCACAGTATTGCCTTTCGAACCAGTCAAATGGGGCGCCCTGTTCCAACTTTGGACTGCCTCTTCTTTGCTGCTCCGGAGCGTGCAGGGAGTGGCCCCAGTGTCAAATTTGTCAATAATTCCCAAGGAACAACTGTCAACACACTGCATGTCTAAAAATGAATACCTCCAGCGAGTTTGTTTCCTTTGGGATTTCTTTTCAAGCCATCCAGAAATCAAGCAGCAGATTCGCTGTTTTGAGACATGCACCTGATAATGCTAGGCCCCGTCCAAGTTGCGATGTAGCCCTTGGTATATGTTCCTGCGCAAATTATTTATTTCCGGATTGCGATGTTGCCAAATAAAGTGTTGGGGCACTCCTTTCTTCCACCCGGTGGATTAGCAGGTAACGAGCCATTTTCTATTTCTTGTTATGTCCGGCAGTTCCCATGGTTATACCTACTATACAGCCAGATGGAATCACTGGGCCAGGTTGTGATGTTTCTGTAATGTCAGTTGGAACGTCACTGTTGGTCTAGGTCCCCCAGTTTGCCAGTAGTGCCCTTTTGCCCTTTTTGGCGGGAGGGTTCCCCGACTAAAATAGACTACAGAAAAAGGTTGGTACCCTTATTCTAACCTCCCTACTGGAGGACCTAGTGGTGGTTTGGCAGACATCGTTCAAGCTGCGAGGTTGAGCAGCCGGAGCCAGCAGATGCTGACCTCTCCGAGGCGGATTCCAGTGCATCAGCCAGAGGCTTGGCCCATGATGCGCTTGGCTTGGCATGCCACACTCCTTCTTCACACTGGGTGTTTCTCAAGATGCTGGATCGCGATAGGTGCTTAGTTTCCTTTGGGTGTCCCCAAGGAGGTTCTCTTTCCGACAACGCCTGGTGAGCGACTTCTTTTGTTATGACAAGGGAGATACACAGCAAGCCATGCAGATCCTGCAGGGAATATCATCCTTGGCTGTCTCATGGCTCATTTGACTTCCAATCATGCAAAGCCAATGGTTGAGGAACCTGGGTTTTAGAGCCATTTTCCGTGATACCAAGGGAACCCCTTCACATAACAAAGTAATTGCAGAGATGCACTCACTTTGGTATCACATATTTTTGCCACAACCATGCAAGAGAGCACCTCTATCCAGCTCTACTTGCCCCGTTCTTTCCAGCCAATGGAAAGGTTCTGCAAGGGCCACCCTTTGAGGACATTTGGAATAGTTCTGCAATGGCTGGATGAAGCATATTCATCTAGCGCTCATGTGTCTGTCTTTTTGGTTGAGGGATGTTGAGGGAAGCTGTTTGTGGGCTGGTCTTAAACTAGGTCCCCCAGTAGTGCCCTTTTACCCTTTTTTGCGGGAGGGTTCCCCTACTAAAATGAACTTACCCTCTCTACTGGACCTAGTAAAGGGAGACCGAAAGGACCAGCGAAGCCATCTCGGGCCCAACCTACAGACGCGCCACCCAGCGCGCTCGTGCCGAGGTGCTGCAGCGAACGCTGGAGCGCCTGAAGTTCCGAGTCCGGATCCCACCGGCCGAAGACGTCGGGGGCGTCCGTTCTTGGCACGCGAAGACGTGCGTTGCTTGACGACTTGCATGCTGGATTGGGAAATAAAGTCAGGGGACAGGCTTTGTAGCCTCAAAGTGGGTTTCAGTCTGAATGTGTGTGTGAAGACTTCTTTTTTGAGAGCCATGTCCTTTGACTCCTTTGCCAGGCATAACATGGCTAGCATCAGCTAGGTGAACCAGGCACCTACAGTTCTGAAGAATCTGGCAGGCATGTTTCAAAGCTGGTGTTTCTGCCTAAGGGCTTCCAACAAAGCCCTCGGTCTAAGCACCATCCTGCATCCGGGCGTTTTCTTGAGCAGGTGCGTCCAACTCCCCCAAACAATTGGCTTGCTTAATATAAAGGGCACAAAAACTGAGCGGCCTCACATGGGACACCCGTGGGACCAATGCTCATCACTGGTGCTCGGCAGGGAATGAGGGAATGAGCCGTACAAACCATTTCTTGCGGTTTCCTTTAAGTGGCCACATTCCCTACTGAGCACCAGCCCCAGCAAGTCTTGGGGGTTGGCTTTAGTGGTTTGGGTGGTGGTTTGGGGATTTGAACCTCTCGTTCTTGTAATCGGTCACTAGAGCACAACCCCTTAACGACTAAACCACCAATCCAGACCACCAATCAGTGGAAAACTGATTGCAAAGCAAACCGAAGGAACGCGCTCATTTGTGAGGGGTCCCCCAATTCTGACATGTCTAGATTTGAGGTTCCAAAACGATTTGCATTAAGGCCGCGACTCCGGCAGAGCCAGTCAGGGTCTGAGCCGGCAATGCCTGGGGTGGGCAAGAAAGTGCTAAATCTACAGGTTCAAACCACCATTAAAACAATGGGAGTTCATCTTTCACCACCATTGTTTACCCTTCAGGATTGTCATCATCCAAATTGGGTCCTTGCCATTCTTTGAATGGGGTCAAGGAACCCTAGGGTATATGGTGCGTTGTCAAAATTAGGTGCCTTTTCTGGTAGCCGTCTCTGAAAGGCGGCACTTAGGGCGGTCACCCGATTCCAACAAGGCGCCAGATTAGGCTCGGTCCTGTGGTTTGTCAGTGGTTTGTGGTTCATTTGGGAGGCACATGGTGGAGTCCACCAAATTTGCCCACAACCATTTCCGGGATGTTTCAAACTTCACAAAAGTCCTTTGCGGGAAGCAAGTGGTTTTGACCATGGCTCATGGGTGTTTCTCACATGGTCGCCTAAGAAAAGCTGGTTTGCTTCCAATATCATCAAGACAGGGATCCATGTGGGTCTGGTTGTGTTGGGTACCCTTTTTCTGGTATTTAAAGGGAACTGTCAGGGAAAACCGCATGTTTTTGGGGGTCACCAAATTGAATACACACCAATGTTGAGAACCCCCCAATATTAACAATCGGTCGGTTTTGGTAGGGAAGCTATAAGTAGGGGTTGGCTCCTTGATCCCGATAGGCATTGCTCGGGGGCGAACCCACTTGGTTTTCCATGACCGTCCGGAACTATGTCCTTTGGGGGGAGGTGGCAAGGGTGAGGGAATCCCTGTTGAAGTGACACAGTGGTCAAAGGAATTGCGTACCTGAGTATCACAGCAATTTTGCCTTCCACAAGCATGGACGAGGCTACAGGGAAACGAAGGCACACACGCCCAAACTTGGAGGGCATGTACGCATTTGAGTCGCAAAGAGTCGAAGCATTTGTTTTGAGACTCGTCAATACGGGTCTCTTGGTAGATTTGGGATGAACAAAAAATATGAGCGCCACAGCTTAAGCCAAGCCACTTGCATCTGTTTTGTTTACTTCCAGCTTTGGATCCCTCTTTTGTTTCGCGTGATGCAGGTTTCCATGGTTTGTTGGGAAGCATTTTGCATGTTTGATCCTATTGTGGTTTAGTGGAGTTGAAATCCAACCACTTAACTGCTACATGTTATTTGTATTTTTATTTTGCTCCCCTTGCTCCCCAAGCCCAACGTCAACCAAGTTGTTGTTTCGCGTGAAGGTTTTCACGGATCCGGACTGCTCAAGTGCCAGTTCGAAGGCGCAGCCACCCGAAGCTGCGGCTGACGTGGCGAAGGCAGTCAGGTGCTCAGGTGGATGCTCCGCAGTGCGCATTCCCAGCATGTTTGTGTTGGTATCTTGAGTGCTATTGAGTTGGATCTTTATATATTTTTAACAGTTTGGTTGAAATCAAGGGGTTTTCCACTACACCCGCAAAAAGTGAAACTTTTTGCAGCGGGGTCAACAGAAACCAAGGCATGCGTGACAATGGCTGTGATGTGGGTCTTTGTTTTGAGGGGTACTAGGTGTGAGCCGGTTTCAAGGGAAACCGCCCACCCTAGGCTTCCCCTTGTGACAAACATCCTGTGCCCATGGACACCTGCAAGCCAGATGGTGATGTGAGGCAGGCGCATATTTTTTGTTGGTTTGAAGCCCTCAGAAAGTCGCGTGGATCAGCTGGTGCCGGCCTCGAAGCTCGTCGTGTGGTGGCGTTTTTGCGCTAAGAGATGCTGGCGGTTGGTTCAAGTCAGACTCTCAGAAGTTCAGTGGTACCCCTTTTTCCCCCTTTTTTGTGGTGGCTGCCCCACTAAAAATGGTCCAAGCCCCGAAACGGGTTCCCTTTCTCGTCCCAGAGTATCTGAACAACTGAGGACTTTGGTGGTGTTGGTCTTCTCACCCATAGCCCCCCTCAGTCAGGGTTCAACGTTTTCGAGTGGCGTGCCCAGAAAGCCACAAGAGGCGGAAGATCCCGACCACCATGTTCCCTTGGTTCCTTGCCTGCATTCAAAGAATGGCCCAATCAGCCAGTTTGCAACCCTCATTTGGGCTGAAAAAACAACCCCGCTCCTTTTCGTTATGTAAGGGGCCGTCCCTTAGCTTGTTTCGCAGGCCAAAACCATTGTAAACTGATGCAGAGGGAAGAAGCATCAAAAAAGATACCCCCAGTAGCCGTGAAGACACACATCAGGTCCAAGTTGTTGTCGCAAACCAAGATTGCGGAATCATAAATTTGCAGGGCCCAAACCGTTACCCAACCAATGCCCAGCTCATTAGCCGCCATGCCGAATCCAACCAGCTGCCCTGCAGCCTTCCCTGGAACCACCTAAGAAACCCTGAAATGGTGATCCCCCGTCAATACCAATCAACAAATGGTTTCAACCATGGTTCCCAAGTAGTGCGAACAATTTTCGCCCATCAGCAGTACTCTTGCGGCTGGAAGCTATTGGACAAGGAAGCTATTGACCCATGTTGGAGCACGGGCTTTGATCATGATGCTGTTGAGGCTACCTGTTTTGGGTTTGGCTTAAAGGACACCCAAGTGGCAAAGGGGAATTCTGATCTTTTTGCGCCCCCCAAAAGGAAAAATATAAAATCAAAGGAACACCATTTCGCACCAGTTGAACCGCCGCACCAGGGGCTCCTCACACATTGAATTGTGGATGGAGAGAAATGGCGTCGCACCAGTTGGTAGGTGGCTTATCCCAATCGCAGGGGTTCTTGCGGCCTGGTTGCAGGATTGTGTCCATCCAGATTTTCAGCTTCCAACGCATTGGTGCTTTGGATTGGTGGTTTGGATTGGAACCACTGGTTCTTGAGGGTAAATGAGAAACCCCTAACCTCCAAAACGCCGAACTACTATTAGGAAGGAACCTGAAGAGCATTGTTCATGTCCTTTCTTGATCCTCGGCGAGGCCGCGGAGCTTCCGGAGTCGCCGGGTGGCGCCGAGCCAAGGGTCGCATGCTCGGCGCGTTTCGGTCGCTCCGCTCGGGGCGGGTTGAGGGAGAGGTTGGGGTTTACTGACCTAATCATAGACTAGGTCCCCCAGTAGTGCCCTTTGACCAACTTTTTCGGGGGAGGGTTCCCCTACTAAAATAGACTACAGAGAAAAGGGTACCCTTATTCTAACCGCTCTACTGGAGGACGTAGTAGAGGTGTCCTTGTTCGGTTGTCTTGATCGAGAATAGACGGTATTTTTGTTCTGATCACTTGCCAGCGCCTTTGCCAGTGCTATCTATTTTTCCGAAAGGACACCTTCGGGGGTTGGCGTGCTTAGGACTGCCCTGAGGTTCAGAGAGGCCACCGTCACAACACTGGGCTTGGTCTGTCAGTTGTGCAGATGAACCCTTTTTTGGGGGGGTTCCCCTGCTACTATAGACTACAGAAAAAAGGGTACCCTTATTCTAACCCCACTGGAGGACCTGGCAATGGTTGGGTGTGGCTCAAA